CTGTTTAGGTTATTGTACTTTTTCCAATTTCTTGATTTGAACATTTTTGATTAGCTCACTTATTTTCAACCATTTTCACTTTCTGATGCCAAATTCTAAGCACTGTGTCCTCTGATCTTGATAATAAGGCACTCATTTTGCTGCATTCCAAGTCTTTCATAATTTCCCTTCTGCTTTCAAAGTATCATTTAGCAAAAGTCACTCCCATTCTCATCCCACTTAGACTGGTGGGATTTCAAAAACCCAGCCTCTTATTATCAAGGTCTAACTTTCTTGCTTGATCAGACAGCATGCTGGTACAATGCTGATTTTCCGGGGTTTATCAGGGCCTCCTTTGTGGTGTAGAACATGGTCAGTCTCCAGGGCTATTCCATGTTTGCTGAAAAACCATACATCCTCTGTTTGCAGAAATGCCTCTTCTGTCTATTAACTTGGATACATTTCTATTCAAGTCATTTCTTCTCCTGTTTCTATCTAATCTAATTTCCTGCTGTCCAGCTCATAGCACTGCTTTGTAAGGAGGGAGAGTAGGGGAGCCTAGCACAGAGAGCGATCCAAGCAGGAACAATCCCAGGGGCAGGCACTTCCCCGGGAGATCCGTTCTGGGGGTGGGGCTGTGGGAAGACGGGGGCAACAGGAGGGGGCTGTGTGCGTGTGGAGGGGAGGTGGGTGTGTGCACAGTGGTCTGGGGGATTTAAGAAGACAAAACGCATCTAAGTCATGAGTTTTTTTTTTTTTTTTTTAAATTGAGACTGGCTTCACGGGTATGGCTATTTTACTCCGTATTGAACAAGAAGGGATTTTTTTTTTTATCTTTCTTCAGTTTTGTTTCAGGAAAAAAAAATGGACAAACTCAAAGCTCCTGGTTTTTCTCTCCGTTACTATCATTTTGATAGGAAGTATACAGCGATCTAGCCTGGATTATATTAAGGTGATGTGTCTGTTGCTCAAATAATCCTTTTAATTATAAGATGGCCTTGAAACATTTTATATCATTTTGGATTCTTGGTTTAACTTGTTATTGCAATTGAGCTCATACCCTCCACGGTGCTGTAAGTCCCCTGGGATGGGTACAGCATACTGTTTTATACTTTTGGATTTATTAAGGCTGGTTGTATAATGCAATATGCACAGTGCATATTGGCAGATATATTGGGTTCCGTTGAATCGAATTGAGGTTTACTTCTCTTGCATCCTTCACTGAAGTTCACAACGACTGTCTTTGAAATCATTGTTTTCCTTGTTAAAGCAGATAATTGATCTGTGCAAATGTCACACTAAATCACTCACTACTGGCACTGGCAATGTGGTGCCACGGGGGTTAAGCTGCCGCCTGCAGTGCTGGCATCCCTTGTCAGAATGTTGGTTCAGGTCCTGGCTGCTCTGCTGCTGCTCAAGCTCCCTGCTCACGTGCCTGGGAAGGCAGCAAATGACGGACCAAGTGCTTGGGCCCCTGCACCCGCGTGGGAGACCAGGATGGAGTTCTTCGCTCCCGCCTTCAGCCTGGGCCAGACCTGGCTGTTGCCGCCATTCAGGGAGTGAACCAGCTGATGGAAGATCTCTCTTTCTGTCTCTCTCTCTCTCTCTGTGTCTCTTCTACTCTGCCTTTCAAATAAATAAATAAATAAATTTTTAAAAAATTGGTGGTTTCTCAGTTTGAGTCTCTCTTACAATTGAAATTACAGAGATCAGAATTTGCATAAACAATGCTACACCTCGCCTCAACGTGCGATTGAATTAACAAGCCTTTATCCAGATGAAACAACGCAGGACAAATCAATCAAAACAGCTTTACTTTGTGTACAGTAGTGCATTCTTCTCACATTCTGAGTCTATAAAGGATGCGGTTTAACATGAACTTGACGTGGGTCCTGACTGAGCGTCTCCTTTCACGCCTTTCTAGAACTTGAGTCTATCACTGCAGATTGAAAGGAGCAAGGAACACAATTAACAGGTGTGAACGTGCGGTGTGAATGTGCAGTGTGGCCTCAGGAGAGGAACCGGCAGGCTCCTCGGGTGGGACGCTTCCCTCGGCTAATTCACCGAGGTCCAGGGGTCCATTCATGGGCTAACTGACTCAGAAGTCTCGGACACTGTTCTAGGAGTGAATTGGTCCTTTAGGGTAGACTCACATAAATCACGCACAAGACCCAGGTCGATGTGTCCAGTCATCCATAGTCATATTTATACAGACATCTACTTAGCAAGCATTTGTTGAATCCTATGGTGTTGTGGTCTGGGCAGTGCGAGGCGAGCACTGAATTTTGTTGTGTGCCAGTCTACAGTCCACATTTTAATAAAGAATATCTACTATCACAGGGTGATAAGGTCAAAGGTCAAAGGAGGAGGGTAAGGAGATAGAGAATGGGGGATGGAGAGATCGAGGCTTTCCTCAAGGGAGAGGCTGAGCCACAGGGAGCCCAGGCAGAGTTTCGGGGGAGGGAACAAGTGCAAACGCCGAGTGGGATTCCAGCTTCCAGTAGCCCAGGAACAGGGATGCTCAGTCTGTCACAGCTCAGAACGCCCCTGGGGACTAACCCGTGCAGGCCTTTTCTATGCAGAGCCACGCCACTCCCTGGAGGTGGGGTGCCGAGCCAGAGTCTGGGCAGAGGGCTGTGACCTGGTGCCAATGACTGCTGGCACTGGATGGTGTTCCTGAAGCATCTGCCTGGGCTTTCTTACCCATTTCCTGCCAATCAGGGTTGTCCCTGGCTGAGGCTGGGATGGGCACTGCCAACTCCGATTTCTTGAACTTGGGGCTGGATACACTGGGTTCCCCTTTAGCTGGGCAATCCTGGCGACTTCCTGGCACTAATTATTTGTGAGGCAAATCAGTCCAGAACAACCGTAACTTGCCCAGGGTCACACAGTCAGAAACTGAAGCTTCGACTATGCTGCTGTCTCTTTTGGTGGATTTGTCCCGGCAGAAAACCAAGCTGGTGTTGACAACGCACCAGAGAACCGATGTGGACCAGAAGTCTGTTTTCGCTAAGAGTAAGAAGAGTGGTGTCTTTTGCAGTCTGATTTTGAGCATATCCCGTTCTCTTAATATTGCAGCCTCCGCTCAAATCAGCAGGGGCAGCTCCCTCTCTGACATTCCCATAGGCAGTGGCTGTGGTCAACACTGGGTGCCTTTTTCCAGTACAGTCTAGGAAACCCCAACAGGTCCCAAAAGGCCACTGCCCTCAGATGCTCAAAATACATCTACTGGGGCGGCGCTGCTGTGGCGCAGCGGGTTAATGCCCTGACCTGCAGTGCCGGCATCCCATATGGGCACCAGTTTGGGACCCGGCTGCTCCACTTCCGATCCAGCTCTCTGCTATGGCCTGGGAAAGCAGTGGAAGATGGCCCAAGTGCTTGGGCCCCTGCACCCACATGGGAGACCCAGAAGAAGCTCCTGGCTCCTGGCTTCGGATTGGCACAGCTCCAGCAGTTGCAGCCAATTGGAGAGTGAACCATCGGATGGAAGACCTCTCTCTCTCTCTCTCTCTCTCTGCCTCTCCTCTCTCTGTGTAACTCTGACTTTCAAATAAATAAATAAATTTTACCAAAACAAAACATCTACTTGCAGAGCAAAAGTCCATATTTGCTTGGCCTAGAGGACAGCCTGGCAAAGAATTCCAGGAATCATCAAACTCGTCGGCTCTTAGCTGATTTGACTGCATACTCAAGTATTAAGTCGTATTTTAAAAATGCACCTGCCTGTTTCCACATTCAATTTTTTAAAAAAATATTTATTTGTAAGGAAGAGTTACACAGAGGAGAGGCAGAGAGAGAGAGAGAGGTCTTCCATCTGCTGGTTCACTCCCCAGGTGGCCACAACGGCCAGAGCGGCACCGATCCGAAGCCAGGAGCCGGGAGCTTCTTCTGGGTCTCCCATGCAGATGCAGGGTTCCAAGGACTTGGGCCATCTTCCACTGCTTTCCCAGGCCATAGCAGAGAGCTGGATCGGAAGTGGAGCAGCCTGGACTCCAATGCCAACTAGAACGCCGGCACTGCAGGGGGCGGCCTCACTAGCTAAGCCGCGGCACCGGCCCCCACTTACTCATTTTTACCTCCATTTTATTTCAGTGCATGTAGTGCATCCGACAAGTCAATTAAGGGCATCTTACACAACTACAGTGCACTTTTTCCCTTTCAAAGCATTTTTTCAAATATTGCATCCTTTACTGTTCCAAGGCAGTCCCAAGGGTTGGGCAGGGCTTTTATTTATTTTCAAAAATTTTCCCTTCACCGTTCACATCTGCTGGTTCCTCCCGCAACAGCAGCGGGAACTCAGTCGGTGTCCCTCGTGCGTGGCAGGGGCCCAAGGACTTGAGCAGCAGCAGGAAGCCGGATCGGAGGCGGAGAACTGGAACCGCGCACTCCGACGCGGGACGCGGGCGCCCGGAGGCAGCCAGCTCCTCGCCGTCTCTCTCTTCCACCGATGGGATTTAGGTGTGGAGGCCCGGGCCGTCCCCTGCCGGTCTGCACCCTCGTCCCCCTCCCCGAGACCCTCCGTCCAGCCGCGCGGTCCCAGGAGCGCAGCGACTCCTACCCGACCAGCCGGTCTGCTCTTAGCGGGTGGCCGCCCTGGGGCGGGGGTCGAGGGCACCTGCACAGTCCTCGGCCAGGCGTCGGGGCCGGAGGACCTCCCAGCTTAACTAACCACGCCTGCTGGTCAGCGAGCCAGAGGGAGCCCACCCCCAGGCGCAGGGCGCGGCGCATCCCGGAGCGCGTGAGGCAGGGTCTTCAGATGACAGCTTCAGGCGCCTGCGGGTCGAGAACCAAGTCCCTGCCACGGCGCACAGGGTCGGAGGGAGACGGAGTCTGGGAGTTCTTCCGCCACGGGGCTCCGAGGCGCCGGCGTGAGCCACAGCCACAGCGACAGGCGGAAAACCAAAAGCGCCCGGACTCCGTAACCTAGCAACCCCGCTGCCCCGCCCTCCCCGGGCCCCGCCCCTTCCGCCGGCTCCGTCCTCGAGCCCCGCCCCTTCCGCCGAGCCCGGCTGCCAGAGGCCCAGCGTCTTCCGCCCGCCCCGCCCCTTCCGGGCCATGTGTAGGAGCCCAGGTGCGTGTCAGCCCTGTGCACGCGCCCTCTCTCCGGCTTCCCCCCGCAGGTGCGTGGTCGACGTCGCGCCCCAGCCTCGCTGCGATGGGGGTTCCCAAGAGGAAGGCCCGGGGCGGCCAGGACGGGGCGGCCTTGCCGGCGGGAGCAGCCAAGCGGGCCCGCAAGGAAGAGCTCACGGGCGTGCAGTTCAAGGCTCAGCTGAGGGACCCGCAGAGCGCCGCTGCGGGTGAGTGCGGGGCGGGAGCACGTGCCTGCCCGGTGTTCTCCGTGTGCGGGCAGCGTTCGCGGCCCCGAGGGTGCGAGCCAGGCTTCCGCGGCTGCGGGGAACCCAGGCCCCGGTGATTGGGCCCGCACCTTTCCTCGCCGGGGAGCTGTCCGGCCGCGCGCTTGCTGTTGTCAGGAACGTGAAGCCGGGGTGCCCCGTCGGGGGCACCCTGAGCCTCCAGCCCCGCGCTGACCGCTCCCGGGCAGCAGAGCCCAAAGCCGGGCCCGGGGCCCAGTGGCTTCCTGTGCAGCGCGGCCGCCCCTCGCCGCTGCCTGGCGTCACTTGGAAAAGGTGCAGGTTGTCAGGGAAGAAATACCAGTGAACGGGCTGTGTGCAGACGTGGTCAGAGTGCTAAAACAAAACAGGGCCGGTGTTTCCCCCAGGTTAACGGGATGATGAAGTGTAGCGGTCAGACTCGCCTCGATTTGCGATTTTTCTCCTACAGAATTTTTTTTAAGGTTTACTTATTTTTATTTGTTTGAAAGGCAGAGTTAGAGGGAGGGAGAGAAAGAGAGAAATCGTCCACCTGCTGGTCAGTCCCCAGATGCCTGCAATAACTGGGCTGGGCCAGGCCGAAGCCAGGAGGCGGGAGCTTCTTCCAGGTCTCCCTCTGGGTGACAGGGGCTCGAGGACTTGGACCATCTTGTGTTGCTTTTCCAGGAGCGTTAGCAGGGAGCTGGATCGGAAGTGGGGCAGTCGGGACAAGAATCAGCACCCATATAGAATGCCAACGTTGCAGGCGTTGGCTTAGCCCTGTGCACTACAATGCTGGCCCCTCCTACAGGTTTTTTTTCTTTTTAAAGATTTATTTTGGGGCCAGCACTGTGGCATAGTGGGTAAAGCCACCACCTGCAGTGTTGGCATCCCCATGGGTGCTGGTTCAAGTCCTGGCTGTTCCTCTTCTGATCCAGCTCCTCGCTGTGGCCTGGGAAAGCTGTAGAAGATGGCCCAAGAGCTTGGGTCCCTGCACCTGCGTGGGAGACCCAGAAGAAGCTCCTGGCTCCTGGCTTTGGGCAGCTCTGGGCGTTGTGGCCATCTGGGGAGTGAACCAGCAGCCTCTGCCTCTCAGTAACTCTGCCTTTCAAATAAATAAATAAATAAATCTCTTAAAAAAATAAAAGATTTATTTATCTGAAGGCAGAGTTGCAGAGAGGGAGAGAGATCTTCGGTCCACTGGTTCACTCCCCAGATGGCTACAACAGCTGGGGCTGGGCCAGGCCGAAGCCGGGAGCTTCATCCTTGTCTTCCCTCATGGGTGCAGGGGCCGGAGGACTTGGACCATCTTCTGCTGCTGCTTTCTCAGGTGCCTTGGCAAGGAGCTGGGTGCCCATATGGAATGCCAGCGTCGCAGGCTGTGGCTCAGCCCGCTGCACCACAATGCCGGCCCCTCCTACAGATTTTAAAAAATATTTGAACACTGAATGGCCGGTGGTAGTACAAGATTCTACGTTTCACTCACTCACACTTCAGTACGTACTAGAGGCTTTTATTTGGTAGGGTAGCGGTAAAAGGATGAACACAAGTCTGACGTGGGCCCTGCCGCTGTGGGGCCCACAGTCGGGCGGGGGGAGGGAGAGGGCAGTCCACAATGTCGCATTCCTTACCGGTCCAGCCGGGTCCTCCAGAGCAGAGGTGCATGGAGCTTGGGGATGCTTGACGCTGCTTGCAGCTCAACCCAGGGGACCAGAGAAAACTCCCAGAGGAGGCGGCTTTTCAGGAGCGGTGTGGGGTGGGGCAGGGGGTGGAGCGTTTCTGGCAAAGGCAGTCACGTTTTTTTTTTTTTTAAGATTTATTTATTTATTTGAAAGTCAGTTACACAGAAGGAGAGAGAGAGAGAGAGAGGTCGGTCTTCCATCCGCTGGCGCACTCCCCAGATGGCCGCAACGGCCGGAGCTGCGCCAATCCAAAGCCAGGAGCCAGGAGCTTCTTCCAGGTCTTCCACACAGGTGCAGGGACCCAAGGACTTGGGCCATCCTCTACTGCTTTCCCAGGCCATAGCAGAGAGCTGGATCGGAAGAGGAGCAGCCGGGACTTGAATTGGCGCCCATATGAGATGCCGGCACTGCAGCCGCGGCTTACTCACTACGTCACAGCGCCGGCCCCAGCAGTCATTTTTGCAGAGGTCCTGTGCCCTGTTTCATAGAGACCGCCACGGCCCGCAGCTGCTGCCTCATGCCGACAGGCGTCAGTGCAGGTGAAGGGCGGGCCGGGCTGCCTCATGCTGACAGGCGTCGGTGCAGGTGAAGGGCGGGCCGGGAGATTCGGCGAGGCCGACGGCACAGGTGGAAGTGTGACTCCCTCGTGGGAGGCTCTGTTGGTTGCTGATACGCTTTCATGACTCCCGAGGTGGCATTGCTGGGAGCTGGGGTGCAGCGGGTGCAAGCTGGGGGAAGGTTCTGATGCCGCTCCCTACCGTGTAGTGGAGGAAAGGGCTGGGTGTCACACGGTGCAGACCCCGAGGGCTTGGGGTGCGTCGGTGTCGGCATCGGCGTTGGCGTCAGGAGGATCCAGCATCAAGAAGCCGTGTGCTTCAGGTCCTGTGGTGGAAGTCCCATCCCTGCTTGCTTCTGTGTCCCCGTGACAGGAAGGCTCTGGTCACCTGGGTGCTCCTGCAGGTGCATCTGCCTCTGTCCCGCTGGGCCTGGACGCGTCCCCTCCATCATCCTCATCCTCGTTCTAGCCTGGGTGCCGTCAGTCCCTGCTGGGCCTGTGGCTGGGGCTGCCTGGGTCGTTCTCCCTTTCCTACTCTTGTGCCCTCTACGTGCAGCAGTGGGATGAGCTTTCCTTTTTAATATTGTATATTTATTTATTAAAGGAGTTACAGAGAGACAGAAAGAGATGGTTCTTCCATCTGCTGGTGTACTCCCAAATGGCTGCAGTGGCCAGGGCTGGGCCAGGCTGAAGCCAGGAGCTTCTGGGTCTCCCACATGGCTGCAGGCGTCCAAGCACTTGGGTCATCTTCCGTTGCTCTCCTAGCGGGGAGCTGGATTGGAAGTGGGACAGCTGGAACTCGAACCAGCACCCACGTGGGATGCCGGTGTTGCAGGTGGCGGCTTTATGCCACAACGCTGCCCGTCCCCGTGATCTTTTAAAACTTCTGATCTGATCATTTCACTTCTCTCATGACAACCTCCAGGGATGTCCCAGGGTCTTTAGGATAAAATACAAGGTCATTACTATACCTCGCTTTGTCTCAGATCACCCTCCCCACTTGTTCACCTACTGGGCCCCGCCCTCTGCACCCTCCAGTTTTGGGCCTTGGCAGATCCTTGGCCTGCAGCCCTCCGACTCGTTCTTACTCTTAGCATTGTCGGTTTCAGTGTTCTGTAGGGAAAACCTCCCCCCTCCGGTGTAAATCTTGCTCCCCAGTTAAAACCACATCCCATGCACCCCTGAGTCGTGCTTCCTAGCCCTCTTCCTGCACTGTGCCGTCCCTGTCTATTGCAGAGGTTGTGGTGAGTGCCTCATAAATATTCATAAGTAATATTCATAAGTAAGTACTACGTGGGTGGAGGCCTTGCCAGTTTGTTCAGCAGCACATCCCAGCCACCCCTCAGGGAGTGGTGCATACAGAGAGAGGACAGGTGCACTGGGCCAGCAGTCCCCGCCTGCTGTACCTGGACTGCCCAGAGTTAAGTGAGAGTGTGGCACATGAGTCCTGGAAGAGAAACAGCACTGACTACCCTCTGCATTAGCAACCCCGGCTCTCCTGGTGTTCTGCTTTCTTGAAGGAGGCAGTGGGGTCTTGTGAGTGCTCAGGTGCCGCACAGCTACCCGGCCGGAGCAGCCTCACCCCTGCTCATGAGCTGGAGGCAGCAGTGGAGTCTGGCCCCAGAGCCTTGAGCCTGCCGCACCACAAGCACAGGTGCTTGGTGGGTGTTTAGGGGGTGAGTACAGCTGCTGGGGAGTGCCGCACTACAGCCTACGTGGTGATTGCACTGGGGCCGGGCTGGGGCACAGCGGGTTAAAGCCCCAGCCTGCAGCACTGGCATCCCAAGTGGGCGCCAGTTCGAGTCCCGGCTGCTCCACTTCCAGTCCAGCTCCCTGCTAATGCGCCTGGGAAAGCAGCAGAGGATGGCCCGAGTCCTTGGACCTATGTACCCATGTGGGAGACCTGGAAGAAGCCCTGGCTCCTGACTTCAGATCAGCTCAGCTGCAGCCATCTGGGGAGGGAACCAGTGGATGGAAGACCCCTCTCTGTCTCTACTGCTCTCTGTAACTCTGCCTTTCAAATAAATAAAATAAATCTTTCTTTAAAAAAAAATTAAAAAGACCTTTGCAGGCCAGCAGAGGGCTGAATGACCTGATAGACGCTGCTGCCGCTGAGGACAGCCAGGGCCCTTTTCTGAGGGTTCGCTCTGTGCTAGGCGCGAGGCTGAGGTGCGTTCCGTGGGAGCTCTGCGCTGTGTGCTCCCGTGGGCCCTGGGAAGTAGGTCCCGTCATGGCTCTCGTTTCTCAGGTGTGGTGATGAAACTCGGACTGCAGTGACTCGCTCACCTCCCCAGAGCTCACAGGCGCATGGCCAGGCCACCGCTCCAGAGTTTACGTTCTTGCCTGCTATGTTCTTAGTGTTAAATCCTGCTTGTGGCCCCAGAAGTCTCCAAATTCAGCCCTACGTGTGTGGAACTGGGTCAGCTGGCGGGCCTGGTGCCGACAGTGGGCCAGGCCCCACTCGGACACCACGCGCCCTCTCCCCCCCGCCCCCGAGCCCCAGGGATCAATTCCATGAGCGTGAAGGGGTGCTCCGTGGGCTCCAGAGCCAGGCTGCTTCTGTTGTGCCACTTCCTGGCTGTGTCGCCCTGCACAAGGGCCTCAGTTTTCTCATCTGTAAAATGGAAGGAAATGCTAGTGCCGAGGGCGGTGGGTCACGGTGAGACCTAACTGATAGAGTACAGGTAAGGCTTGTGGTAGTGCTTCATTACCTTGCTGTGAGCCCATTTTATGGCTTCAGGAAGGCAAGCTGAGGGGCGGGGAGCGTCCAGAGGAGTAACTGCAGGAGCCAGGAGCAAGCCCGTGAGTGTGGGCGGGCGGTTTGCTCTGTTCCTCTCCTGCGTCGTCTTTCCTGGGTGTCTTGATAACGTCCCTGTGGGTTCATCTGCTCGGTTGGCCGTAACAGAGTGCCACAGCCTGGGTGGCGTATACATCAGAGATGGTCGTCTCCCGGTTCTGAAGGTGGCAGGGCTAAGCCAGGGCCCCGGTAGGGGGCTCTCTTCCCGGCTTGCTTACGGCTGCCTTCTTTCCCTGTTCCCACACAGCTCTGTCGTCTCCCTCCCCTCCTTAAGAGGACCCCAGACCTGCTGGATTGGCCCCACTCTCAGTGACTGCGATCACCCCCCAAAGGCCCTGTCTCCATGCCGTCTCTGGGGGTTAAGGCATCAGCGTGTGCACGTGGAGGGTGGGGGCAGCCGGGTCTGCAGCACTCACCGCTGCTGCGCCGTGCGGGGGCCCGGGGGCCGTCGTGGCTGGGACGGTGTCGGGGGAGGCTGCGCTCGTTCACGATTGGACACAACTCTCATTTCAGCCTTGGAGGCGTTCGTGTCCACTGCCAGGAAGCTGCCGAGCGAGGACGTGTATGATGTGGTGGAAGGGTACATAAAGATCTCCGTCGAGTGCGCCGAGGTCTTCCAGCTCCTGAGTGGGGAGAAGCGGCCCGAAAGTGAAGTACGTGGGCCCTGCCCGCCTGGCGAGCGTGTGGGGGTGCTGGACAGCCCCAGCTTCCTCAGACCACCACGCTTTGTGCCTGTGCCCCGGGCCGCGTTCAGCCCTGCCTTCGTGGTCCCTGAAACACAGCCTTGTTAGCACCCGGCGAATGGTGGAGCAAAGGGTCTCAATCAAAACGCGCTTGGTTTCAGCACGGTGGACACAGACTGAGAACACAGGTTGCATTATCTCCTGAACACGTGAGGACCTGTTGAGACGTGGGAGTGAGCGCTGTAACTGAATGGCCTCGAGCTGTGGGCCCGCTGCTCGGTGTCTCTTTCCTCTTTGGGTTCAGGTTGTGCGGCTGTACGCCGGCTATCGTCTGCTTGGCTAGACTGGGGGGGCAGAGCTGAGGGCTTTGGTCTTGGTGGGTTGGCCTGCTAGGCCGGCACCCCCCAGCTTCCTTGCCTCGGCCCAGGGTCTGGGGAGGCCTCATCCCGCAGGTTGGGGGTTTTGAGCCCGCAGTGACCATGGCCAACACCGAGGAGCATTTCTGTGCGGGAGGAACGGGGATGCAGTGGTTCACACGCGACTGAGTCCTGCCTTTGCAGATGCTGCTAATATTTCAAGTTTTGGAAGCCATCCTGCTGAGGACAGCCAGCGATCTGTCGCATTTTCACGTCGCGGGCACCCACATCGTGAAGAAGCTGCTGAACAACCACATGAAGCTCATCTGTGAGTCCCTGTACGCCTCGGGGTACAGGTGAGCCGCCGCGCGCCTGCGCCTGGCAAGGACCGGCCTTGGGTTTGCTCTCGGCGGGAGTGTTTGACGTTGGCCTTCGCCCATGAGGGACAGCTGAGCTGTTAGCAGGGCTTCTGGGCCGTGTCTCTGCCCCCCTTCCTCTGAGAGCAGCCCCTGCCATCAGTGCCCTAGGAAAACCCCAGCAAGCTTGCCCCGCTCATGTCCTCCTGCCTTGGAGGCTCGCCTCTCGGCGCGGGGTTCTCTGTGCCCTGGGACTGTGCAGGGGTGTCACTGGGCAAGACGTCCGACGACCACACTGCCTCCCACAGCACTTGTACCGTCCCCTCTGTCCCTTCAGCCTGCTCTGTGTTTCTCCCAGAGATGGCCGTCCGTCTGCACAGAACATTCTATGTCTGTTGATGAGGATGTGGGGTGCACACGGCCAGGCCCTCGCCTGTCTTTCGGGATGGCGCCTCCCCAGGCCCTAGCCCCGTGCCTCAGCTGTCGCAGGTACCTGCAGACAGAGAGGGCGCCAAGAGCTCACTTTTGGAGAAAATGAGGAGGTTTGTGAGGCACTGTGAGGAGGTCTCCCTCAGTGCCCTGCACATGCCGGAACTGAGTTGGGACCCCTCGGCCACACGCTGGTTTCCTCCAGGGACCCGTTCCCATCTTCGCATCTTGCATTCTGTGCTCTTGTTTTGCTTTTATTAAAAACAGAGCACATCTGCGTGGCTCCTTCCTTCCGTTCTCTGCCCGGGGGAGAGCGGATCATGTGGTGTGGCTGGCTCCCTGGCGAGCTGCTCCTGACAGGCCTGCCGTCCTTGTCCCCGTGCAGGATGGCTCGAGCCTGCCTCAACATGATGGCCGCCATGGTGACCCAGGGTCCTGAAGCTGCCAGGGACGTCTGCGGCCATTTTGATTTGAATAAAAAGACCTTGTACACCCTGGTGACCAAGAGGGATTCAAAGGTGAGAGCCCCGTGTGTCTTGTTCCTCCCATGTCCCTTCCTCTGGCGGGTCCCAAGGTTTGTTTGTCTGCTTCTCTCACACCTTGGTCCCACCTAGGTGGGGCGGCGGCGTCTGTCCAGGAGGCAGAGGCTGATCCGGAGGGCTCTGGGGGCTTCTCTGGGGTTCGGAGGCGCAGCCTTCCTGGCATGGGGATGACGTGGCTTGTGAGTGTGTTCTCTGCGAAGTAACCAGAGAACCCCACACGCCTCTGACCCCGAGGCTGCCGTGTCCCAGCCCTCTGTGCTGTCCCGTCTCCCGTGGCAGAACCCTCGCAGCGCTGACCGGTGAGGCCGCCCCGGTGCCTGTGCTGTAGTGGGTGGGCCTGGGCCGTGCTGGATGGAAGCGGGGTGTGAGTGGTTGTTTTCAGGAGAATTGTGAACAAGATTCCTGGCAGCCGGAGAAGCTGCATCCGGGTTTGGGGAGGCTTGGGGAGAAAGTACAGTTGGAGACCGCCCGTGCCTGGGAAGGGCCCTGCTCCCCACGCACCTGCCAGCTCCAGGCTGTCAGAGCGCCCGTGCCGCTTGCCAGTCGGGCCCTGCGGGTACCCGGTGCTGCAGCCACGCTCTCTCTCTGGGAATTGCGCTCTCTGGCCAGCTGAGAGACTGAGGTAGTGATGCGTAACACCCAGAGAAGCCTGTCCTGGCCACCTCTAGGGCAGATGTCCTGGTTCTTTGGCCTTAGCTGGCGTCAGGCTGGCCCAACTCCCTGGACCTCAGCCCTCCAGCCGTGCAAGTAGACTGAGGTGCCCGGGCCACGCAGAGGGCAGCCCCAGAGGGCCTTCCCTTCCTGGACTTCCATCCTGGGGCCAGGGCAGGTTATTTCGTCGCTCAGGGATCTGTAAAATGGGAGTTACTTCAAGATGGAAGCGTTTCTACCATCCTTTCTGGGTTCTTCCATATCAAATGTCTTAAACAGAAATGGTTTCTAGATATTAGACTTGTTTTTAAATACAGGGAATGTCAAGGATGTTAAAAAATGGAACAATACAAGGAGTACCCAGTGGTCCTGCCTCAGTCCCTACCCCCTTCTCTGTGTCTGGGGCAGTCTACACAGAGAGCCCAGAAGCGTTTCACTTTAAATATCTCGGCGTGTGTTCTGACCGTCTAAGATCTTTCACAGCTGTCGTCAGTTATCATACCTAACTCCATTAGTGAATTCCCAGTATCCTCTGACACCCAGTGTGGCCTCAGGTTTTCCTGATGATCTCAGAATGTCCAAGTCAGGATCCAGACAAGGTCCACACGTCGTGTTTGGCTGATAGGTTTCTTTCTTTCTTTCTTTTTTTTTTAAAGACTTATTTATTTGAAAGTCAGAGTTACACAGAGGAGAGGCAGAGAGAGAGAGAGGGAGAGATGGCCACAACGACTGGAGCTGCTCCGATCTGAAGCCAGGAGCTTCTTCTGGGTCTCCCACGCAGGTGCAGGGGCCCAAGGACTTGGGCCATCTTCTACTGCTTTCCCAGGCCACAGCAGAGAGCTGGATCAGAAGGGAGCAGCCGGGACTAGAACTGGTGCCCATATGGGATGCCGGTGCTTCAGGCCAGGGTGTTCACCCGCTGTGCCACAGCGCCAGCCCCCAAGGCTGATTTGTTTCTTAAACCTCTTCTGGGTCTTTTGAGTTTTTGTTTGTGTCCTGCCCCACCCAACCTCCCTTGCTTGTTTTCTTGCCATTTATTTGTGGAAGAGGCTGGTTAAGTTTTTTTCTTTTTTATGAGCGCATTTGAGCATTATGAAAGCCTCATGTACAAGAGGATGATGGGTGGACTCACCCGGCCAGAGAAAGCGTTGTTAAAATCCTGTGCCAGAGAGCAGTTTTGCCAAATATATTTTGGTCTATTTTAGACAGCGTTTTGCAAAACAAGCCTTAAAGGGCTCAGGACGTCTTCTTCCTGGGCTGATCACCCTGTGAGGTCACACAGGAGGAATGAGGAGTAGGCACGGGGCCTGCTTTTGCTGGGAGTGGGATCCTGTTTTTTGTTTTTAAAGATTTATTTATTTATTTGAAAGGCAGAGTTAGAAGGAGATATAGAGAAGGATATTGCACCTGCCGGTTCACTCCCCAGATGGCTGCAATCGCTGGGCCTGGGCCGTGCCGAAGCCAGGAACTCCATCTGGGTCTCCCACACCAGTGGCAGGGGCCAAGACACTTGGGCCATTTCCCGCTGCCTTCCTGGGTGCATTAGCAGGGAGCCGCGTGGGACGTGGAGCAGCGGGGCCTCCACCTGGCACTCGTACTGGATGCTGTCGTCACAGGAGACAGCTTAACCCCCCGCACCGCGGTGCTGGCCCCGGGGAGTGGGGTGCTTTGGACGGAGGAGTGTGCAGCTGTGTGGCTGCCCTGGCCAGGGCCAGCGTGGAGCGGGCAGGTGTGTCCTTCACAGGGTCAGGACAGTGAAATCGGGGTGTCTGGTATTTACAAGATGGAAGTCAGCAGCTGAGAACCAAATTCCTTTGCAATTAGAAGTTGATTGCTGGATGACCCGCAAGAGTCTAGTCCAACTCTGCTGTGTACGAGCAGGATAGAAAGATCTAGAACAGGAGAAGTTGGGACCAGCATTCCAGGGCCCTGGTTTCACGTACTGTTGCTTCAGCAGGAAGTCAGACCATTGTGGGGAGCAGATGCAGCCTGATTGAATCCCGCCAGGCATGCGTTGTGCCGGCAGTCAGTTGCTACACAGGGCGTAGGTAGACCAGGCCAAGCAGTGACTGCGTTTGGATCCGTGCCGTCTTTATTTGAACAGTGAGACATCCAGGTAGCTTGGGAGCGGCGGGACAAGGACAGAATCCTAGTCACTGCATCCTCGCTCAGCCCCAGTTGTGGGGTCGTGCATGTGCTGGGTGTTTTATAAATTGGTGAGTAACACTTGGCGGCGTTGGGAGCTGCAGCTGGTTCTCGGCTCTAGTTATCACCAAACCCTAGCTCTGCACTGTGAGGAGGCCCGCAGACCCGTCCCCAGAACAGGGAGGGTCGTTGAAGCTCTCAGTATATTTGTAACAGGCTGGCATTGGTCAAAGAAGGGCTCGCTGAAATACCACGTGACACGGGCAGACACAGGCCCAGGAAATGAGTGTGAGTGACACGGGCAGACACAGGCCCAGGGAATGAGTGTGTGTGACACGGGCAAACACAGGCCCAGGAAATGAGTGTGAGTGACGCGGGCAGACACAGGCCCAGGAAATGAGTGTGAGTGACGCGGGCAGACACAGGCCCAGGAAATGAGTGTGAGTGACGCGGGCAGACACAGGCCCAGGAAATGAGTGTGAGTGACATGGGCAGACACAGGCCCAGGAAATGAGTGTGTGTGACATGGGCACGCAGGCCCAGGAAATGAGTGTGAGTGACACGGGCAGACGCAGGCCCAGGAAATGAGTGTGAGTGACGCGGGCAGACACAGGCCCAGGAAATGAGTGTGCGTGACACGGGCAGACACAGGCCCAGGAAATGAGTGTGCGTGACACGGGCAGACGCAGGCCCAGGAAATGAGTGTGTGTGACATGGGCACGCAGGCCCAGGAAATGACGAGTGTGTGACACGGGCAGACACAGGCCCAGGAAATGAGTGTGAGTGACGCGGGCAGACGCAGGCCCAGGAAATGAGTGTGTGTGACACGGGCAGACGCAGACCCAGGAAATGAGGAGTGTGAGTGACACAGGCAAACACAGGCCCAGGAAATGAGTGTGAGTGACGCGGGCAGACACAGGCCCAGGGAATGAGTGTGCGTGACACGGGCAGACACAGGCCCAGGAAATGAGTGTGTGTGACACAGGCAGACACAGGCCCAGGAAGTGATGCGTGTGCGAGGCCTTGATCCCAGCTGAGGCAGCGGGGGTGGGTATCCTCGCCTTTTCCGAAAGCAGCCCTTTCCCCCGTAAACCAGGAAGGCACCGGGGAGATCCTTACATGGAGACCCAGCTGGTGCCGTGTTGAGAGGAGGTGACGTGGACGAGCCAAGGCTGTGAGAAGCAGAGCGGCTGTGAGGCCCACACGTGGCGGTGGGGTTTTGTGCAGTCTTATGACCCCAGTTCTGGGCCATAGCTGCTGCGTGCCTCCGAGCGAGGTTTTTCTTTCTAAGATTTATTTATTTATTTAAATTCATCTGAAAGGTGGAGAGAGGGAAGGAGGAAGGCATCTTCAACCTGCTGCTTCACTCCCCAGATGCCCGCAACAGCTGGGGCTGCGCCAGGCTGCTGGGAGCAAGGGGCTCCATCTGGGTCTCCCAGTGGGTGCAGGGACCCAGCTCCTGAAGCCATCATCTGCTGCCTCCCAGCACGTTAGCAGGAAGCCGAGTAGGAAGTGAAGTAGCTGAGACTTGGACCAGGTGCTGGTATGGGATGTGGGAGTCCCAAGCAGTGGCTCAAACACTGTGCCGCAGTGCCCACCCTCTGAGTGAGTTTTTAAAGCCTCAGTTTCCTCATCTGTAAAGTGGGTGCGGTAAGCATCTCTTCTTCAGGTTGTCCTGAGGACTAAATGGGGTAGCGTTGAGAATAGTGCCTAGCACACAGTCCACACTCAGTGGTTGTCATCGTCATCACCACTGCTGCCACTGGCAAGGGGGGCAGGGCCGTCTGCAAGGCAGGGCTGCTCCTCAATCTTCCCAGGCGTCCAGGACAGTCCTTGTCTGTGCTGCTGACTTGTCCTTGGCAGTGCATTAAGGCGCCGTTGGAATGACTGCAGGGAGGGAGTGGCTTTGCTTTCGGCAGTGGAGGACCTGAGCGCACACGTTAGCCCTGACCACTTGGGTCCCTCAGATATGGAACGAGGTGTGCCGACATGGGGCATGTCCTAGCGGAGCCAGGAGGGAAAACGCACCCGTGGCCCTCACGACTTCCCCAGAAGCGTTAGCCGCTGGGCTCTGCCTTTGGGCCCTGGCCAGGGGTGCGCCCCGTCCGGTGCCGCGGCTGAAGCCCGCAGGGCAGCGCAGGCTGCCAGCCTGGGAAGGCTCTGCAGTGTTTGCAGCCCCGCAGCATCTGTGCCCTGGTCTCTGGGGTGAGTGATGAGTGATTTCTGATGTCCGACACAGGCTGCACGTCCCCACTGGTGTCTCAGCAGGAGCAGCACAACGCCTCCCTTCTCCCTGGATTTTCAAAAACAGATGCTTCCCATCGGCAAGTGAGAGGAGATGGGTCCAAGCAGTCTTGTGTCCTGCACCGGCGTGGCCCGGGAGCTAAAGGAACTTACGTGGTCTGCTCAGGACACAACTGGTTATATGCAAGTTATATATTGAGAGCAAGGCTCGAAAGAGAAGGAAGGTGGAGAGAATTGTGGGGAAAGATGAAGGGAAACCCTCCACCTCCCGGAAAGGCCGAGCAGTGGCTTTGGGCTTCCACCCCCGATGGCTGGGCCAGGACCAGGAGGCTGGTGGTGCCACGGCTGGAGACGGGAGTGCGCGCGCCGGTTGCACTGTTGTCTCCTTTGGCCCTGCGTGGACTCTGCGTGTGACACGTGGTCTCTTTGGTCCTCAGGGAGTGCCCGACGTCCGGCTGGCCTACATCCAGTTTGCTCTGTCCTTCTTGATTGCTGGTGACGACAGCACTATAGCACAGGTGCTGGAGCTGAAAGGTACGTGTCCCTGTGTCCCTCAGAAAGCCCGCTCGTCACCACTCTCCAAGATCCGCTGCCCACCGTTCTTCCCGGGTGACCAGAGGCCGCAGCCTCTTTCACAGGCTGAGAACGCGTGTGCGTGTGGCCAGGCAGCGGTGGTGCAGGTTTGACCCCACGGGTCAGAATGAACACAGGTGTTCCTGTCTGCCATCTGGATGCCCGGCGAGCCCCTCACCAGGACAAGTGCCAGCCTCAGAGAGGCAAACCAGGGTGAACAGAGGCGGCCCAGCTGCCTGGCCTTCCGTGGCTAGTGTGTTGTAAAATACGGCTTCACCGCCTCGGTGGCTGTGCCATGTGGTGCCAGAATGTCCGTCACTGGGCTCCAGGGAGTTCCAGCCTGGCCGCCTCCTGGGGCCATCTCTGGAGAGAGGCTTGGCGTCATGTGACCCATTAGGGCCACTTGCATTTGGGCGGGAGGTTCAGGAGCTTGGTGAGTGGCAGCCCCTGCCTTGGCACGGTTACGCTCAGAACTCTGGGAGTTGGAGGAGGAGGCGCGTGGTGCCGTGGCCTAGTGTGGTCAGCTGTCCACTCCGAAGGAGGCAGGGGTCTGAGCTTCCTCCGGGACGTGAGGGTGCAGGTGCAGGGCCCCTGTGTGTGGTCCGCCTGGCCTGGGAGTAGTTCTGGGGAGGAGACACAGCAGACAGTGTTTCCACTGCTGGTTGCCAGGAACCCAGGGTAGGACATCCTGCTGCTGCCGGGGCTGGAGGTTTCCTCGCAGCTCCCCGGGCCCTCTCAGCCCTGCGGCCTGGCCTGCTGCTGAAGGACAGTGAGCTCTCGTTTACGCTGCCGAAGGGGCAGCACGTCCGGCAGTGCGGGCTTTCTGCGTCAAAACCCCTAGGCTGTTTGAGCAGCAGTCCCACGTCTGGTCCTTGTACTAAGGAAAGAATTAAGAGTGTGCGAAGAGGTTTTGTTAGGGAAGATTTGTTGTTTTTTTTTTTTTTTTCATGTTCGCTGAAAATTGGGCTCCTAACTGTATACCAGTAAGGGATTAGTTGAGCAAACTGAGCGCCAGCCATAAGAGGACAGTGCAGCTGGGGCGATGTCGCTGCTGGCATCCGGGTTTCCTTGTGATGCGTGATTGGCGTAGCCTCGGCTACCAGCTGCAGAAGGGTGATCCCTTCTCACTGGAGGTTGAGGGGAGTGGCCTGGCTGCGTCAGAGGCCTGGCAGTTCTCTGACAAGGCAGCAGGGCCCACCTCTGCATCGTGGCAGGATGGCTGGCTTTGAATTTTATTCTTTTGCTTTGGTATTTCCTGATTTTCTTTCTTTTTAAGAATTATTTTCTTTATTGGAAAGGCAGAGTTGCAGAGAGAGAGGGAGAGACAGAGAGAGAGGTCTTTCTTCTCCTAAATGGCTGCAATGGCTAGGACTGGGCCAGGCCGAAGCCGGGAGCTGGGAGCTTCTTCTAGAACTTTGATGTGGGTGCAGGGGCCCAGGCACTTGGGCCATCTTCCACTGTTTTCCCAGGTGCATCAGCAGGAAGCTGGATGGGAAGTGGAGCAGCTGGGACTTGAAACAGCGACCACATGGGATGCCGGTGCTGCAGGTGGCAGCTTAACCTGCTACGCCACAATGCCGGCCCTCTGATTTACTTTTTCTAAGAATAAGAAATTTGCTTTTGTAGAAATTATGTGAAGCCTCTAAAGATGTGCAGACCAAGTAACACTGGATGTTACATCTCAGATGCTTCAGCCTGGGGCCGCCGTGTGCTAGAGGGACACAGCACCGCCTTCTGGTGGCCGTCTCCCCCAGGGTCGGAAGGTACACAGAGCAAGCCAGAGCACACCAAGTCACACAGAAGTCGCTCCTACCATGAGCAAACTCTATACCAATAGAGCTTTAGAAAGCTGTTACAACACACATTCTCTTTCAATCAGTATTGATTTTGCTTCATGCTTAAGTACTTTTGGTTTACTTTGCCAGGAAAGGGGTAATTATTATGCCTTGAACTTGTATAATTAAAACTGAAAAAAAGACGTTACTTGCTAAATAGTAACATTCTCCCATCTGTTCTGTTTTCAAAATATTTCTGAGTTTAATGCTTTGAACCTTTTATTTTCAGAGTTTATTCCTTGCATTTTTAGCTCAGGCATAAAGGAAGATAGGATTTCTACCATCAATATTTTGTTGTCCACATTGAAAACAAAGGTACGTGTTTGGTAAGCAGCGTTTCTGTTACTCACTTCTCCTTGTCAGTGAAGAGCCCCTGGCGTCTTAGGGACTGGAGCCACGACACTGCCTGTGGGTTATGGTTGTGTGAGTTGAGCGGGAAGCCGTTTCTTACGCCCAGGCTTGCTCGGGGTGGTGAGCAAAGCCCGGGCCCGGGAGGCTGAAGACTGGCAGCTGCTTCCATCCCAGCAACAGCGATAAAAGCGCTGGTTGACGTTGCGCAGTTGCCCAGTGGGGTGACTGGGAGCTGTAAGTTACAAATACTTCTTCTTCCTTGTCACACCTAGCAAAATGTCATTTTCCATATTTCATAGAAACTTAAAATTTGCTGAAAGGGCCACTGACTTGAATACAGAAGCACCTGAAGTGAGCAGTTAGAAACCTTCCCGCAGTAAAGTTGTTGGAAGTCCACCAGAAGCGTGTTTTCCTGTTCAGGGGACTTTTTTAAAGATTTATTTTATTTATTTGAAAGAGTTACAGAGAGAGGTAGAGACAGCTCTTCCATCCGCTGGTTCACTCCCCAGGTGGCCGCAACGGAAGGAGCTGCGCCAATCCGGAGCCAGGAGCCAGGAGCTTTTTCCCGGCTCCCACGTGGGTGCAGGGGCCCAAGGACTTGGGCCATCTTCTACTGCTTTCCCAGGCCACAGCAGAGAGCTGGATCGGAAGAGAAGCAGCCGGGACTAGGACCGGCGCCCATATGGGATGCTGGCACCGCAGGTGGAGGATTAACCTACTGCGCCTCAGCACTGGCCCTAGGCTAATTTTTAAGTCGATAATTTTGTATGGCCTGCAAATGATGTTATATGTATCCAATGGCCTTTGGCAGAAAAAAAAAAAGATTACCCACCCCCCTTGTTCTAAAGGAATATTTAATGATATGGAAAAAGCAGCTTCTACTGCATAAGGAGACACACAACCATATATAAATATAATCTAAGGTAATAAGAGATAACCAGTGTATATATACATATATGTGTATATGAACACACACCCACACACACACACACACCAGGAGACCGAAAAGAAATAGACCAAAATGGTACATGGATATCCTGAGTTGGGAATGGGAATGTTGACGGATTTTCTATTTGTATTTTCCTTTTTTTTAAATCAAGCTTTCTGCCGTTGTCACATGTTGAATTTATAGGGCTGAAAACACAATACATGTTATTTGAAGGGTAACTGAGTTTTATCATTGCTTTCAGGTAGTTCACAGTAAAAGTATCACAAAGACCCAGAAGGTGCATTTCTTTACCGCACAGTTGTTGAGCCACATAGCGTCTCTCTACGCCTGGAACGGGATTGTCGACGTGAGCCCGGAGAACACAGAGGTGCGTGTCGCTTCTGGCTGTCAGTGGGCCTCGGCTCTGGGGTGCGACCCCCACGGCTGAGAGACTCAGAAACCTTGACGGCACGCTGCACTTCCAGAAAAACCAGCGCCCTCCTCGTGTGGGCCGTCTCTTTTGGCTTAGGGTTATGTGGTCGTATTTTTCTCTGCTATGTGCAATATGATTTTTTTTTTAAAAATTACAGCACTAAGATTTTTGTTCTGCTCTCTGGGTTATCATGAGTGCAATCTGTATTTGTTTTCCTTTTTATTAATGGGAAAACGACTGGTCCCTGTGGTCGAGTGAGCAACATCTTGTCTTCGCTGGGATGCCTGCGCATAGCTTTGAGCATCAGCCAGGCTCCCTCTTCCTCTCACCTTGCCAGACCCCTGCCCTCGTTCCTGTGTAAAGCCTTTGGAGTTTCAGGTTTGCTTTTAACTGTCTGGGGGGCCCCACGTGGCCTCATCCAGCGGACATGCATAATTTATTTTGTAACGGTTAATTCAAGTGCCAAATTAAAACAGTTGCTTTCACATTGACCCAAGGCCAGCGGGTGTTTTAATTTTCCTCCTTTTCGTTTTCCTTGGGGCGTTTCTGAACGTGGACTTGGCCAGAGCAGTGACGGCTCCGACTTCCTGTTAACTCTGATAATTTACCTCTCGGGAGCCCACTCTTCACATGCTTTCATCTTGGGGACTCGCCTGTGTCCTCTTGTTTTGAACATGTTTCTGTATGCTCCATTACCAGGAAGCCTCAGGGGCTTAATAAAAACACTCCCAAATGGGGGATTTTATTTGCAAGAACAAGAGAAATTAAGTCATTTTTAAGCTTTTAAAAATTCAGGTTTAAACGTGCTCCTCTTTAGTGTTCTTTTGCCCTGGTTGGTATATCTGTGTTTTGATTTTTTTTTTCCTCTGTGTCTTGGACTGACACCAAGTGCTTAATATGTTTTTGAAGTTGCCCATTTTTATTCTGGAGCTATTGCAAAGGCCTGGGATTCAGTCTTTTTTTCTTAACCCCTTCTAGATGTCTGCTGAGGAGGCGGGGAAGGCCATGGTGCGGGAGCTGGTGCACAGCTTCCTGCTGGATCTGTGCTGTTCCCTCAAGCACGGCATTAACTTCTATGATGCGTCTTTGGGCACCTCTGGCAGGTGAGTGGGACGTAGCGAGCGTGAACCCTGGGGGGTTCCTTACATGTCGGCACGTACTTGCCTTCCCAGTGGAAACCAGGCACACGGTGGAGTTGTAGTAGGTTACAGCCAGAGTGGTGGATGTCACCGGTGGGAGACCCAGAGAACCCGTGTGCATTCCACGCCACCCGGGCGGAGATGGCACGGGAGCAGTTTATTCAGGCCGCAGAGGACACGCTGCCTCGCCCAGGGAGGGGCTGCAGCTGTCTGCTTCGACTCAGTGGCGTGGACCGAGTCAGAATGAGGTGACTGCATCAGCCGTCCTCTGACAGGTGCTGGCAGGATTTCAGAATTGTGCTCTTGCATTTGATTTCTTATTTCTTAATTAGGATAATGTTTTCATCAGCAGGGAGATCAAATCCAAATCTGATGGTTTTGATTATATTTAGACTTTTTCTTTATAGTCACATAATACAGGGATACTTCCAGAAGTCTGCGGGAAAATGGCGTTAAGAGGTACACTGAGGGGCTGGTGTTGTGGTGCCAGCATCCCATATGGGCGCCAGTTCATGTTCCTACTGTTCCACTTGCGGTCCTGCTAATGCCTCTGGGGAAACAGTGGAAGATGGCCCAAGTGCTTGAGTTCCTGACACCCACATGGGAGGTTCAGATGGAGTTCTAGACTCTCGGCTTTGGCCTGGCCCAGTCCCAGCCATTGGAGCCATTTGGGGAGTGAGCCAGCGGACATGAACCAGTGGGTGGAAGATCTCTCTCTGTCTGTCTCTCCCTCTATCCCTCTGCCTTTCAAATAAATAAGTAAATAAATCTTAAAAAGGTGGTAAGCGTACGGGCAAGTGTTTAGCCTAGCACCTAAGATGTCAGTTGACGCCCACATCCCACATTGGAGTAGCTGACTTTTGCACCCAGCCCTGGCTCCAGACTCCGGCTTCCTGCCAATGGAGGCCTTGAGAGCAATGGTGCAAGCTCAGCTAACTCAGTCCCTGGCACCGCTGGGGAAAACCTGAATTGAGTTCTCAGCTCCTGGCTTCCGCTTGGTCCAAGCCCCTGCCATCGTAGGCATTTGGGAGTGAACCAGCAGGTGGGAGCTTGCTCTTCTCTGTTTCTGTCTGTCTCATTCCCTCTCACTTTCTCTCTTTTACTTTCTCTGTCAAATAAATTAAAAAAATTTTTTTAGGTTTATTTTGATGCAAAAAAATGTTTGAAATCCATGTGTAGCTTTTTCATAATACATATTTTCCATGAAGTCTTTGAAGACCCCTGTACACATTGTTATATTTTTTGATCTCCAAAGTAGACTGCTGGTCCTCAATCTCTTTAATTAATGGATGTTTTTCTGATCGTTGTGAATGGCTTATTTCTTGCCCCATGACCGCAGAGCATTATTAGAAGGATTGAGTTGCGTGTAGTTGGGTTTACTTCCAATTTCGGCTGGTCAGGAAACCACTGGTTTGCCCCAGTGAGGAGAATCTGTGCCTGCGTGTAACTTTGCATGTAACCGAGATGGCCAGGACTCCTCTCGGCCCACCATTTCTGTTTCTGTTTCTCTTTTCTCTCATCTGTAAGAATGGACTCTCTCCTGCTGAAATGTTCACAGCAGCCTTTCGTAGTCCAGCGCACTCTAATACTGTACTTAAAACACAAGCATCTCCCCAACCCCTCCCTACTTTTAAGGCGCCTTTTCCCTCCTGACTCGCCCCATGACATACATGGTCACGGGATGAGTTACTGAAGCACCGTGTCGTTGTGGGCGCTGTTGGGAGTGTGCCGTGGGGTTTGCGTGTTTTGTGAAACCATGGGCGAACGCAAATGTTTGTGCTTAGGGGAGAGGAAGTGAATTGTGTTTGTGGGCAGCGTTCAGAAGTGCTGAGACAGCTGAAATCCAGGGCTCCCCAGTGTCCTGTGACTCCCTTGCGTTCAGCCCCACGTCATCACTGCAAGGAGCCCTTCCCAGCAATCCTTTTGAAGTAGTGCCCCGCTGTCGCTGTCCTGCTGCCTGGCCCGCGCTCCTGACCGCCGTCCACCACCTTGCGTGCTTGTTGCTCTGCTGGCTATTTTGGCTCTTAGAGCGTGAAGCAGGTGTTGATGGGAGGCCGATGCTGCAGGGCTTGGCAGACTTTTTCTATAAAGCACCATCTGGTACTTCAGGCGCGGTGCTGACCTGGTCTCTGTTGGTACTCAGTTGTGCACTGTAGCACCAAAGAGGCCACAGGGGTCAGCAGATGCTCGGGACCAGCATCTGGCACAGTGGATGAAGCCGCTGCTCGCAGCCCCAGCTTCCCGCATCAGGATGCGACTGGAGCCCTGCTCGCTCTACTTCTGACCCAGCTCCCTGCTGATGCCCCTGGGGAGGCAGTGGAAGATGGCTCAGCACGCATGTGGGAGACCAGGAAGGAGTTCCTGGCTCCTGGCTGGCCCAGACTGGACTATTGCAACCTCTCTGGGGAGTGAACCAGTGGGTAGTCATCTTCTTTGTCCCTCTCTCTGTTGGTCTGCCTGACAAATAAACGAAAAAATCTTAAACACACAAAATGAAACAGCTGGATTCCAGTAAGATGCTGTTTACAGAGCTAGGCGGTGGGTGTAGCGTGGAGGTGAAGAGAGCAGATAACGCGAGGCGGACGGTGGGCTTCAGTCCTGAGTGTGCGCCCTTGGGCAGGTTACAAACCTCCTCTGCCTCCTCTGTAAAGGAGAGAAAAGTCGCGCCAGCCACGGAGAGGTGGGGGTGCTGCGTGCCGTGAGCAGCATCTGGCACACGGCCGTCGGTGCTGTTGGTTTATTACGTTGCTGTTGATGGAAATCGGGTGTGGGTGCAGTATTTTTAGCACTCCGTAGATTTCACATTCTGTTCATCTGAGGTACAAACTGCCTTTGCTTGGTTCATGAAAAGTTCACATTAGGATTTTTATGCCATTTTTTAAAGGATAGTTTTTTGGTCAAAATTATGCTCTAATTCTTTTTTGAAAAAAAATTTATTGTTTGATTGCGTAGAGCTGTGCTATGGCGTGGTCGTTCCACTCGGTTTCTAAGGGCCATAGACACTGCGGATCCCAGAAACCATCAGCACGGCATGCGTGGGAGGCCGATTCTGCCTTCCCGGAGTCCAGGGACAGGAGGCAGGCCCCTGTTCCTAGACGGCCTCAGGGTGGGCGAACCCAGCGTCTGTGGTTTTGGCTGAGATCCCAGGATCATTGGTCGCCTATTGTAGGTGTCACGTGTGCAGGTCTTCCTGAGGTTTCCCACCTCTTGCATTAATCATTGTGTTGGTCAGGGTTTTGTTGTTATAAGAAAGTACCTGAGAAAAGCTAGTTGGGAAGGAAGGAAGTTGACTTTAACTCAGGCTTTTGGAGATTTGCAGTCCATCGCTCTGGCCTCTGGTGAGGGTGGCAGTGGTGAGGTGGAGCGCTTGGACAGAGAAAGGGTCGTGGGCGAGCCAGGGAGCAGGGCAGAGCTGCCTTCTGTGGGCCTGGTGGCTTCCGTGATCTGAGGACCTCCCTCTAGGCCCACCTCCCAAACTCCGTAATTAGATTAAACGTCTGCCCCCTTAGTGCCGCAGTTTAAGACCTTGAGGGGGCCGGTGCTGTGGCGTTGTGGGTAAAGTCTCTGCCTGCAAAGCCAGCATCCCATATGGATGCTGGTTCGAGTCCTGGCTGCTGCATTTCTGATCCCTGCTGTGGCCTAGGAAAGCAGTGGGAGATGACCCAAGTCCTTGGGCTGCTGCCCCAGCATGGGAGACCTGGAGGAAGCTCCTGGCTTCGGGTCAGCATAGCTGTGACCATTGCGGTCAACTGGGGAGTGAGCCAGCAGATGGAAGACCTCTCTCTCTCTCTCTCTGCCTATGCCTATGCCTATGCCTATGCCTCTCCTTCTCTGTAACTCTGACTTTCAAATAAAATTTTTTTTTAAAGACTTTGGGGCGTGAACACTGTTAGTTTCCGAGCTGTGTGCTGTTCAAGCCAGGGCAGTTGTCTACTCATCCTTTTGAAGTCTGTTTGCCTACTTGTTTTTCTACAGTAGGTTTTTTTTTTCTTGTACTCACTTCTTTCAGCTGCTGAGCGGAGGTGTAGGAATTTGAAATAAGCTGGGAACAAAGAGAGCAGAAGGCCTTGTGCCGTCCTGGCTGTTTCAGAAATAACTTTACAACATTGGGGATCCATGTGCCGATCTCTTGAGCATTTCATATTTAAAAAAGAACTATCCATTCCAAAGAAAAATGCCGTATTTGTATGTTTTGTCCTCACATACATGTTCGTATTTTTTCATGTGTTCGAGGAAAGAGGTCAGTGAGCTCTCAGGAGTGGAGTGCATTCTCTCTGCTGGTTTTGCCCCTTTAGAGCAGCCTGGGTGTCCCGTAGGCGGCCGGGGGGGCAGGGAGAATGGTTTTCTTCCCCTTCTTTGGAAGTCAAGTTGAACTCCAGGGAAAGAAGGAGGAAAGAGCAGACGGGACTCAAAGTGGAGACTGTTTTTCAGCCACAGAAGAAGGGGACAGGAATTCAGGTCTCCCTGTCAGAGCCATGGAACCCCTGCCTGTGCCCAGCGGGACATGCCTGCTCTGCCCCGGGGCCGTTCCAGGAGCTACGGTGTTAGCGTGAGATCTAGGTGCTTTTTTTTTTTTCTTTTTAAGATCTATTTATTTATTTGAAAGGCAGAGTTACAGAGAGGAGAGGCAGAGAGAGAGAGAGAGAGGAGTCTTCCATCTGCTGGCTTACTCCCAAAATGGCCACAATGGCCGGAGCTGCGCTGATGCGAAGCCAGGAGCCAGGAGTGTCTTCTGGGTCTCCCACGCGGGTGCAGGGGCCCAAGGCCAGCCTTGGGCCATCTTCTACTGCTTTCCCAGGCCATAGCAGAGAGCTGGATCAGAAGTGGAGCAGCCGGGACTCGAACCGGTGTCCATATGGGATGCCGGCACTGCAGGCAGCAGCCTTCCCTGCTGACCCTCCCTCTCCCCTTTCTCCAACAGAGGAGGAAACCTGACCCTCCTGCACTTCCTGCTGGGGTTGAAAACCGCCGTGGACGACGAGCTGGTGGCCGAGCTGGTGGTGAACATCCTCCGAGTGTGCCCGGACTTGCTGAACAAGTACTTCAAGGAAGTGACGTTCTCCTTCCTGCCCAGAGTGAAGGCCACGTGGCAGAACAACATCAAACTCCTGAACAAGGTCGTGCTTGGGCTTCGCCTGCAAGCCGGGCGGGGGCTGCCAGGCGTTCTGGCCCAGTAAACCCTAGGAAGGCCTTCTTTTGGGGACCAAGAGCGTATTTTTGATCATATAAATTTGCAGTCCTAATCTTCCAAGTATAGTGTTGCTTTTCATTGAGCTGAATTTTGAGTGGTTTTTTTGTTTTGTTTTGTTTTTTTTTGCCGTTTGAATCTGTGGAACAATTTATCTTTGAAACTTTTAAAACTTTGCTTAGAGTAAAAATCTTACTGAATCTCAGTGCACGTAGGCCAGAATTAGAGAAATGTGTGAATTGTGGGACAGTTCTTAAAGACTGCAGTTTTGAAAGCTTGAAATCAGCTGTGAGATGTTGTTGGTCTGCTGGTTAATGTAAGTGGGTTTTTGTCAGTGTTTTTTTTTTTTTTTTTTTATTTTTTTTTTTTTTTTTAACATTTCTGTCTATTTGAAAGTCAGAGTTACAGAGAGAGAGAGAGAGACAGAGATCTTCTATCCCCTGGGCTCACTGCCCCAATGGCCTCAATGGTCAGGACTGAGCCAGGAGCTTCATCCAAGTCTCCCATGTGGGTGGCAGGGGCCCAGGCACTTGGGTCATCTTCCTGTGCTTTCCCAGGCACATTAGCAGGGGGCTGTGCTGGAAGTGGAACAGCCGAGACTCGAACCTACACCCATATGGGATGCCAGTATTGCCAGCGGCTGCTAAACCTTCTGTGCCACAGTGCAGGCCTCTGTCGGTTTCCTTTGGGCCACAGACGTCAACAGCCCCCCGTCTGCCTGGGGGCGCTCACTGTATGTTCTCTGGCAGTGATGCCGGGCTCCGTTGAGCGCTCTCTCTGCCTGATGCTGAGATACCTGAGCTTGTTAGGCCTCAAGCTGGGCCTGGCCGACTGTGAAGTGAGCTTTGATCCCGAGTCTCGAAGGTCTCCTCGAGGGCCGCTGTGTGCACTTCCCTCGTGTGTCCTGGGGCGGGAACACGCTTTGCCCCTCACTGGGGGGCACGTAGCCCTGCGGCCAGCATCCCTGTTGGAAGCTGCTTTGGATACTGCCCTCCTGGGTGCAGGCCACGGCAAGTGTGTGCTCCTGTAGGCCCAGGTGCAGCCCTGCTGTTTTCTAGGTCTGTAGTCCTAGGGAAGTTGTCTGACTTCATTAACACCTGATTTTGTCATCCACACACACTTTTATTTTTACTAGAAAGTCTCCCACACACAGCTTTTCAGAGGCATTGTGAGCCGTCAGCCGCCTGACCTGGGTATCTGTGGCTGGTAAGCAGGGCTGTTTGAGTTCCAGTGGTGAACTGTTTGCCATTAGAGGTTTTTAGTGGCTCCCTAGACCACAGGCCAAGCTCTGCTTTGGAGGTCCCTGGCTTGTCTTTAACAAGTGGATTTGGAGGTTGATCTTGGGGTCCCAGGCCTTGCAGCGAGTCATACCTTGTTACTATGATTCCTTGCTGCAGGGGCTTTATTGTCTGGTGCTTACAAAGAGCCTCAGGCCTGAATCTTGTGTCCAGCACCAACTGGATCTCTTCTGCTCTCTCTAGATCTACGAGGCCCAGCCGGAGATTTCCCGGGCGTTTCAGACCCGAGAGTTTATCCCCTTGCCGCGGCTCCTGGCCATGGTGATGGTGACCACTGTGCCCCTGGTCTGCAACAAGATCATGTTCACCCAAGCATTAAATGTAAGGCCAGTCGATTGCCTCCCTTCTAGAATGTTCTCCCGCTAAACCTTCTGTCTGTGCTGCATGGTTGGTCTGCAAATACCAACGTGGATGTATTTGGGTTTTGTCAGTGAGCCTCTGAGGCTTCAGGACAGGGCTTTCATTTGCAATGGTCCCATGAGTGACAGGTCCCCTGCCTGGGGAGAGGACATCGGAGTGGGGACCCGTTCCCTGTAGGGGGCGACAGATTCTGCATCCTTGTCCCTGCTCTGTCCCATGACCCGGACTTCTGAAGCCCTGCACACCTGCCTGGGGCTGCCCTAGGGTGGGAGAGGTTGGACTGAGAGGAGCGAAAGTTCTTGCCAGCATCTCATTCATTTAGGGCAGGGCTGCACTGGGAGGGCAGTGTGAAGATTTCTGGGGAGCATTTGCTTTGAGGACCAGCTGTTTTCAGGCATTTGGATAAGGTTTATTCATAGAAAAATTGATGGTTCCACTTCATGTTGTTATTTTCTGTATTGTACAGTCCTCCAAGTCCCATAGAAGCTGTATTCTTTCACCACAGGGCCCAGGTGAATGACCTCCTGGGTCCTGCCAGCCCCTCCTGAGCCCGGGTTGCCTACGACTTACCTGGAGGATGCTGGGTATTCAGAGTGACATCTCACTTATTGTGTGATGGGGCGGACCAGAGTGGGCCGGGGCGAGTGACACAGGCACATGTTGGCCCCAGTGGTGATGGATGACAGTCACTGTAGAGTGGCCCAGACCCCTGAGATTGTGTGCTGGGACTGACTGGTGTTTTTTGACTTGCATGTGGCAGTAGAGAGAGGGAGACCTGTAGACCAGGCGAGAGGTCTGTTTGCTGAATGATCCCACGCAAACCTAGAGCGCACTTAGCGTGCCCCTCTGTTTCCTGGGAGATGTTACTGCTCCCCGATGGGAAGGCCCCTGTTTGTTGCACCTCCTGTGGGCTGCTTCTGAGCACCCTCCACCTGCCCCAGCTTAGTCCTGGTGGGCTGGGAGGTGAAAGGCTGGCCCTCGCCCCCTCTCAGTGCTGTCTCAGGGTGGAGGGGGGCCCCAAGACAGCGACCCGTGCCCCTGGGCAAAGTGGCCCAGGGAGTGAGAGAGGATCCAGCCCTCTCCCTGTGGCTGCTGGCATTTGGTGGCGGCCCAGGGCTCGTGGGCCACAGCCATGCCCTTCCCAGGAGCCAACACGGTGCTTTCGTACTTGTGAGACCCAGGGACACAGACAGGCCTACGTGCTGTTTAATTTTTAATTCCTTGCAGTATTGTCTGAAAAACTCTCAACAGCATGTATTTTTAGAGTGAGAAAGAAGAAGCTTATTTTGGAAATGGGAAATAAGGTATTTGGAAGCAGGGGCCCAGGCTGTTTTTGGGTGTCGCGAGCCCTGTGGGTATTCTATCGGCATCTTGTTTGGGCCCCGCCTTCCCAGTGGTTCTGAGCGGGAGCCGTTAGTGGCTTAGGGTATTCAGTGCAGTGTGTGCATAAGGTGAATCCGGGGCTGGTGGGAATGCTGGGGCACTGGGCTGTGGCGGGTGTGAAACACAGTCCGTGGGAGGCCTGTTTGGTTCTGTCTCTCTGTGAATCTCCAGCGTCCCACCCCAGGCTTCCTTACTGTGCCCCCAGGGCCTTGTGAAGGTACGGATTCTACATGCATTGATCCAGGCGGGGGCCGGGAGAGGCCGTCGCTGCACTCGGCCAGGGCGGGGTTCTGTCCTCCTCTTGGGCCTCACTCAGCTCTGCGTCCGGTGAGGACTCGAAGCCCTCCTGGCTGCAGTGAATGGCAGCAGGAGGCGGATTGTGGGGGCTGCTGGCTGTCCGAGCCCCCGGCTGGTTTCCCACCGCAGGCCCTGATGCGTTTGCCTCGGTGCCAGGGTGTGTTCTGGGCACATCTTGCTATTGCAGGTGATGTGCGTTAGCTGAGTGGCTGTCAGAGAAGGCTCACCGATGAGCCGATCGCAAAAACCACCGTTGGACTCTGCCTTTAGCAGTTGCTCTCCTAGTACCTGCTGAGGTCAGACCTGCAGGCTGTCTGCGAGGGGTGGGGGGCAGCCCAGGTCACCCCATCTGATGTAGAGACAGCATCTTGGAGAGATCCAAGAAGGAGCAAGAGCCAGCCCCACCCAGGGCCGGGGGAGACCATGTGCACTGTGCAGCTGGAGACATGTGCATTTCACCCTCTTTCTCCCCAGTTGGACAGCAAGTCTGTGAAGCACACAGCTTTATCCCTTGTTTCTGTCATTTTGAAAAGAGCATTAAAAACCATTGACCACTGCCTGGACAAAGAGGCGTGGCAGGAGCCAGGCGTGTACACGGCCGCAATGATGGATGAGTTTGTGCGGCTCTTCAGAGAGGCCCTGAGCAAGGTAGGTACAGGTCCAGGGTTGGGCTGGCCCTGCACACCTCCCTGCGGACCACAACAGGGCAAAGCCATCTGCGGAGCAGAGTGCGGGCCAGGTGTGTCCTCCAGCAGCTTGGGTGCTGAGGGCCCACTGGTGAAACCCGTGATTCTGGTCAGGCATGAGGTCACACTTAGGGCGCAGTCCAGGAATCCTGTGCAGAGGGAGAAGTCACGTGATCCACTTGCTCTCCCATGGCAGCAGTAGTGGGGCCATGGCATTGGGGACCCTGTGGCCCCTCGCCCTCTACTGCGAACACTGATGGTCCCATGGCCCTGGGGGTGGGGGTGGCTTGGGGAGGCCGTCTTGCTCCCTCCCATGATTGACTCTGCTCATGAGGGAGGCCAGGCGCCTGCAGATTGTCCGGCTGCTCTGACAGCACCGTGGGCACGTGGACCAGTGTCTTGAGCCCGGGAGTGGTCTTAAACAGGTCGTCCTCACTAGCACTCTCGTGTTCTCACCGCATCCTTGCCGGTGTAGTTTTAGGAGGGATGGATACCTGGGAACACAGCGTAAGAGGGGTGTGCACCTGCTCTCCCCCAGCCTTTCTCCTACACTCACGCTCGCTCACACACTCAGATACCTACACCTCCCCCTCTGTGTTTTTGCTTATGCTCAGCTCATTTGTTTCTCTTCATTGTTAATGTGACAGATTTTTTTGCTTCTTTTTCCCTTTTAGATCTTGCCAGACCTGAACACTATTGTGTGGGTCTGGCAGTCCCTGAAAAAACAAGAGACAAAACAGGATGACCAGAAGGGGAAGAGAGCGGGTGACAAGGCTGTGGCGGCCCGTGAGGCTCAGTGCGGTAAGGGTCTGGGGGCCGGAGCTGACCTGGGGGCTGTGAGGCACATCAGTGTGGTGAGGGTCTGGGGGCCGGAGCTGACCTGGGGCCGTGAGGCTCATCTCTGTGGTGAGGGTCTGGGGGCCGGAGCTGATGGGCAGCCCGGGGTGGCTGCCATCTAGAGGGTCCTCTGACCCTTCCTGTTCCAAGGCCCCGCTGGCCATCCTTTTTTGCTGAGGGAAAACAATTGGAGTGGACCTGCAGATGGAGTGTTAATACGCTGAGGGCTGTGCCCGGGCCTTCTGCCGGGCAGTGTTTCCTGTGACACAGGCTGCCTGGTGCCCTGGCCTTTCAGTGGGGGGTGGGGGTGGGGTGGGGGCGTGGCGCTCTTGTTCGGCAGATAGGTGGGCTACACAGCCTCCCAGGGGTAAAATGTGTTAGCTAAGACTTTATTGGCTAGGCAATGGGCTCTGTCCCTATAGATGCATCACCTGATCACAGCCCTGCCAGGGGAGGCCCGGGTATGTGTCCCCATTGCCCAAAAGCACAAGAGACAGAGTAACCTTAGCCTGTCCACGGCCTTCACAGGGAGACAGGGCATGCACGCAGGCTCCTTGAACAGTCTCCATCTTCTTGCCACATTGGCTCCCTCCTCTGGCTCTTGGGGGAAATCTGTCACAGCCCCAGTGCTGTTGGTGATCGGGGGCGTAGGGCACATGTGTCTAACTCGAGCCGTGTGTTTTGGCGCAGATGATGCGGAAACCATTCTCTTGAAAGCCGTCCTGCTCCAGGTCATCTGCCTCTACCAGAAGGTGGTACCCCACATGGTCACTCAGTACAACTTTGACTTCAGCAAGCTCCTGAAAGGTGGGTGTCGGGGGATGGCCGGCCAGCTGGGGAGGACCCGAGCAGAGTCCCCTGGGCCACGGAGCAGGGAAGTGGCAGGCAGGTGGCCTGCGTGCGTGTCGCCCAGCCTGCTAAATTTTGTTTGCACCAGCGTGGACTTCTTGAGTCGATGTCAGATGAACACTTAGCAGCAGTGAGGGTGGAGAAGGGCGAAGCCGGCTGCCTGGTGACTGCTGGGCAGTCCACAAGTCAGACCACACGGAGCCGATTCTCCAGCGGCTTCTCAAGGGAGCAGGTGTACGGGGATGGAAAGGTTGAAGGGGATCGCGGAGGCAGGAGCCTTGTCTAAGGGACGGCTCGTCCATGCAAGAGCAGTTTTGATGTGGCTGCCCCGTGTTCCATCCCAGGGAGTCAGGTTCAAATGGCATTTTGTAAGGGTCACACACTTGTCCCCCATGGCCTGTGGTCCACTTTGCCCAGTAGGGTCAGCTTTGTAACAGAGCCTCCGGGAGACCGGGAGAAGACCTACAGACCTGTCATCCTTGGACTCTATATGAGCCTTCAAACAACCCTTTGCAAAAGCTGTAATTAAATTTGTAACCACCCCAAAGGTGAAAGGGCCTCCTTGCTGAGGGAATATAGGATTTACTAGGATGTAACCATTCAGTATTTAGTAGCTGTGTCCTTCCAAGCAAAGGAGAAACCCGGAGCCCAGGCCAGAGCTTAGAGACCCAGCCTCAGGCTCTTGCCCTCTGGAGAGTAAGGCCCGTGCCGCACATGAAGGATGATGTGAGCGGAAGGCCACACTTGGGGGCAGTGTGGGGTGGTGGTTCCAGTGGGTGCATGGGGTAAGCCTGGGCTGGGTGGCAGGGGGGTGCTGTTGTAGGCGAGTGGAATTCTGGGATAGAGCTGGGGAGAGAAGCATCTGTCAGTGGAGCGTGCCTGGGCACAGCCTCCAGGACAGTGACTGCAAGACACAGGGAGCGGGAGCACATGTGCCCCCCCGTCTTCCTTGATTTCCTTATCTGGTGAATTCCTTATCCGGTTGCTGGGCCTCTGCTTCTGTCTGACCGTTTCTTCCCTCCGTAGGGATCATCTCTGAGCAGGGCCTTGGGGAGGAGGCGCCCCCCATTCTGCAGCACCACATGCTGAAGGTGGCCCTGGAGCTGCCTGCCAACAAGTTTCTGTGGCTGAAGGCACAGGTAGGAAGCACACAGCCCCGTCTCCTGCTAGCTCACAGGCTGGGCTTCTCGGCTTCCTGCCGTGCTGGGGGAGCGATGGAAGAAGGTAACGGCTCTCCGTGTAGAGAGCCCTCCCTGAGCAGAGCAGGCCCCTGAACCCTCCGCTGGCCTGCTTGGGAATCCGCTTTTGGAAGACAGATGCCTAACCTGTCATTCTTGCAAACGTGCTGTCGCTGGCTGGGGCGGGTTTTCACCTGTTTATCTTGACTGTTTTACATTTTTGAGTCACTTTAAAACCTTTTTTGGAAATAAACACATGTTCCTTCCCCTTCGTCCTCATCCTGGAGGAATGACAGAGTTGGGGACAGGCACGAGCCTGCTGAGTGCTGGGGACAGTGGGAGAATCAGTGCACACCACTACAACGTCCGCCTTCAGTGACGTCGTCCAGGGCTTTCTGGAGAACCATAAAGGGGTGCTCAGGATGCAGCAGTTTGATAACGCAGATGCTCTGTCCTTCTGTGCAAAGGGGGAATTGGCTGAGCACCATTAAGCTGGTCTAGGTGTGTTTCTCAGTAGCTCAGACGATGTTTTTAATGACTTGGGTTTATGTACAGTTTTATGCAGAACCAGTGATGTGGAAATGGACATTGGCACTTTTACCCGTGCCATCTCCAGAAAGGTGGAGAGCGTTGTGGCCCTAACTGACACCCGGCTGCAGCGTGTGCCTCTGTGGCTACTCCACGCACCTCACTAAAGACAGGGCACAGGGCCACGGAGTGGTCAGGGGACCTCCCTAAGGTCCTAACCACGCGTGATAGGCCTTGCTCTCAGCCTTCCCACCACTGAGGTCACGGCTCCCAGCCCCGGACAGGTGACAAGTGGGTGCTGCCGCTGACTGGCTTTCACTGTGGCTGAACTGGGCCAGTGGATCTTGGTGATCTCACTGGAATGTGAACAGAGGCCTCTGACTTTGACAGAGCTGGTGTTGAGACATGTATTTCCTGTGCCCCACCTTTTACAAGGTCATGACCAAAAGCTCATAAAAACCTCCCAGGACTTTTCTGAAGTACCCGCATATAAGGGTCTGCGGGGCTAAGCCAACTCCAGTGCTGACAGTGTTTGGGGTCATCCTCTGGCAGGGGCCGCAGCACATCACACAGACACGGTGGAGTTTACACCTGGGATCTAGGGCTGTGTGGACTTCTGAGCCTTTGTGGAGGATACGTTATGTACAAGTAAATGGTTACTACATCTCTGGCATCCTGCTTCAGTACAAGCAGTACGCCTTTGGTGGAGTCACACACCCCTGGGGCCGCTCCCCACCGCCCAGCACCAGGACGCCCTGGGCTGGGCCCCAGTTTACGTGTACGAGAAAGTAGGCTCACAGCTGTACCCCCCTCCTAGGGTTGTTGGGAGGAGTGAGTGAGTGAGAATGTATCAAGACCCTGGGATGGCACCGACATATGGAAGGCATTGCCTGTGCTGTTGCAGTTCTGTTTTTCCTACAACTGATGTTTTGGGGTTGTGAGTGAGTTTCTGAACTTCTAAGGTTACCTGCATGTAAAATCACCAGTCTCGCTGAGTTCTAATTAAAATGAGAGGAGGCATCCTGGGCAGGGAGTCATCTGTGTGCTTAGCAAGTAATGGCCTATGTTATTTTGCAATCTGTGGTTCCATATGTAGTTACATGCATTAAAAATATATCCGATCGCTTGCGCTCTAGGAAGGCCCAGACACAGAAAGTGTGGCGGAGCGATCCGTGTTCTACCTGCTGATGAAGATGTTTGTGACCAGTAGCCACTTGCAGCTGAAGTCGTCGACCCAGCTTCTGATCATGAAGGTGAGCGGTTCCCCGTTTCTAACTCGAGAGCGCTTTGCATGGGTCTTCCGTGCAGGGGGTGCTTCGTGAACAGTCGCTGGACTCAGGAACAGAGGCTTGATGGCAGCTTTAATGTGTCGCGTCTTGAGCGTTGCTGCATTTCTGAGAGGCAGCGTGGTAAAGCGGACAAAACATGGGCCTCGAAGTCCGACTCCTAGATCCCAGTCCTGATTCTACAGGGGTGCTTCAAGAGGTTTGGGGAGAATGAATTCGAAGATAAGTTTATTTTGGTGCAAAAAGTTTTGAAATCCATTCATACTTTTTTCATACTGCTCACTTTCCATGGATTTTTGACGCACCCTCTGACTTCCAAGGTGGCCGTGGACGGTGCACCTCGCCTCTCTGAGCGGCCCCTGTGGTGGCAGGGCCTGATGCAGCCGTTAGGTTGGGAAGAGGGAGTGTGTGGGAGGGGAGCTTGCCCCGGACATGGTCGGCTCAATGCTTGCTCTGTGTCTGCTCCCTGGGGAGCTGTCCGACAGGCCAGGCCTCCTCCCTTGTCCCCAGTGTCTTGGCCCTCTCCTTAGGGAGACCTCGTCCATCACCCTGAGCCCCAGGCGTGGTCAAGGTCCGAGGGAGCCGGCAGGAGTGTGCCTCGTCCCTCTCTTACTCTGCACTCGGGCTGTCGCAGGAAGAACTCAGGTCCCATTTCAGACTCCAGGAAGGCTAGAGGGAGGCTGCAGAACCCACAGTCACTATGTGTAGGGTGTGAGGATTTGGCCTTTCACCGTCGTTAAACTTGGCTGTACTTGAATCTCGCCGTCTGAGCTGCCTGACTGGTGCTGAGTGCTTGCTTCTACAGGCTGCCCTTGCCTCCCAGGCAGCGCAGGTGTGAACCCGACCCCGGCACTGCGAGTAGGTGCAGTTGGTGTGCTGAGGTTTTGCTTTGGTGCACGCTCTTGCGGGGCTCTGCTGTGAGGCCAGGTGCTTAGACCTCAGGGCTGTGTCATCAGGCCATGCAGGATGTCATTTAGCCCCCTCGCAGATCCAGGTCCTGCCTCAGGACAGGTCGTGCTCCGTGGGAAATGAAAATGCAGCCTTTAGAGGAAAGGTCTGGACCACCTTCTCCCGTTTAGCACCCCTGGTGCTGGCGCCTCGTGAAGCGGCTTCAGCTGCCCATGAGGCGGCTTCTCTGCTGACCTTCCCCTGTCTGCTTGCTGACAGATCCTGCGGGACACAGGGGTGTTTGAGCACACCTGGAGGGAGCTGGAGCTCTGGCTGGAGCATTTGGACAACACGGCGGAAGAGCGCAGAGAGGCCGTGATTCAGTTTCTGGAACGCGTAAGCCGGCGTTCCCGCCTCCAGGAGCGGGGTGGGAGATAACCACGACAGGTCGGCCTCCTCCTCGTCCAGGCGTGGTGGTGGCCGTGCCCCAGGCCGCTGCGTCCTGGTGCCCTGGTTCCTGCCGAGACCTCCGGATCTACTTGGCTTTGGAATCTATGCACTAGGATCCTAGGGCTGCACCCTGTTTCATTTCCTTGGGGGATTTTGCTTTTGCACAGGGCATGCATTAAAAACACTAAATACACTGAGAGAGTGTGGAAAGCAGCGGTATACTCAAGGGAGATAGATTGTTTTTTAAATGCCACGATAGAAAATTTTTAAAAAGACAGCAGTGCAGTCAAATTATTGTTCTTGTTAAGCACTGTTCACGTTAGTACTTCCCGTGGTGTTGACCGGTGCCCTTTCTTTTCGTTTCACCTGTGGCCATCTGACCGTCTTTCACCTGGCTCGCTCCTGCTCAGGTCTTGTTGACTTTGGTGGCGAATCCGTATTCCTACACAGACAAAGCATCTGACTTTGTCCAAGAAGCCAGCACGCTGCAGGCCACCATGACGAAGCAAGACGCCGACGACGTCAGCATCCCTGTCTCCCACATCGATGGTAGGTGCACCTCCCTCTTGTGCCGGGAACCTGCAGATGAAGCCACGATGGCCTGGGGGAGGCGAACTGCAGCTGTCCCGTGCCTGTGCATCAAGGATCAGCCTGCTGTGGAAGTGAAACCCGCCTTATCTGCTCACGGGCCGGGAAATATGAACAGAACCTGCGGGACTGTTTTCATTCGTGCAGGTTCTACGTGCCAGGTGCCGTCCTAAGTTACCAACACGCTAGGGGACCAGGATGGTCATGTTGTTCTATGAACAGATAAGGCAGGCGAGGCACAGGGCAGTTGAGTAACTTGCTCAAGCTCACATAGCTGTATAGCAGAGTCAGGATTTGAACCCAGGCTCTGTGGCCCTTGTCTGGGCTTTAACTCTCACGCTATTTTGCCTCTCAGACTTCGGCTTGTTTGCCTGAATCTCCAGTTCAAAGGTTCCTCAGGCTGCTTGTGTGACTTGAGGAAAGGTGTGGCTGTCATCAGCCCAGCTGAATGAGCTGTGTTTTGTCAAACGCAGTGTCTCCGCCTGTTTAAGATCCGACGGTATTGTTATGTATTCTCCCAGGAGAGTTGAGGTTTTGTTTTTTCTGTGTTTGCGAACAGTCTCTTGCTTCTGTAACCCTGGAGGGTTATTGGCAATGGCTCTGCCTCACCTGGGTCCCTGCTCTGTGTCTCAGATGTTCTCGACATGGTGGACGTCCTGGTGGAGGGCAGCGAAGGCTTGGATGAAGAAATAGGGTTCCTGTTAAACGAAGACATGATCCTGCTCACTTTTCCGTTCAGTGCGGTGGTTCCCGCAGCCCTGGAAGCCAGGAATAAGCTGCTCCTTGGGCAGGAGAATGAAGCAGGTACGTGGACTCAGGCTGCTCCAGCTGCGTCAGGCCAGAGGCTCCAGAGGAAACAGTCGCTGAGGACGGAAGGCAGCAAGTGTGTAGTCCACCTGGGCGCAGCCGCCCGGCGAGCATGGGCTGGGTGGGCAGTAGCCGTGACGCTGGTGTTGTCTCGGGATTTATTCTGGGTAACTTGATGCTAACGGTGAAGCCCTCATTCTGCGGGGTCTTCCAGGCAACTTAGGCCCAGCAAGTGCTCCCAGATCAGAGTAGGGTAGTCTGGGGAGCTCAGGCTTGGCTGCAGTACCAGGTGAGCCCCAGTGCATCCATGGTTTGATGTGGAAAGTTGCCTTCAAAGTCTAGAATGGGCGAGCTTGCTCTTCTGTGGGCTGTCCTGCGGGAGTCAGCTCTGTAGCTCTGCCATCTCAGCATGTGGCTTCAGGATCCCTGGGGAAGGGGAAGAGAGAGGGGGCGGGCAGGCAGGGGCTGTCTCGGCCTACAAGTGGCTGGAGTGGCATGTGGTCGCCCTCCCTGCACGAGAGGCTGTGTGCCAAGGCGGAAGAGCGGGATTGGTGAGTGCCTGGTGCGTCCCGGTTCCTCTCCAGTGCCTCTACCGCCTGGCCATCCAGTGTGTCAGGCCCTGATGTCTGCTCATGTGCTGTGCTCACTAGCCCCGAGCCTAGTCGTCAGCAGCAGCGCTTACCCATGTGTGGGTGTGGGGTGCTCCTGGAGTCTGCGTGCGGTGTTGCAGGCCTCGTGCGGATGTGGGAGGAGGTGGTAGTGCTGGCTCTCAGAAGGGCGTTCGAACAGGCCTACGTTCCTTGCAGGGGAAGGCATCGTGGCGTATCTGACCGCAGTGCTGACCGACCTCCTCCACTCGCAGAGGGACCCCCTGGCCCTGTGTCTTCTGCTGCAGGCTTATGACAAGTTTGAACCTCCAGGCCCGCCCTGCTGCCATCAGCTCTCCCGGTTTCGCAGATACTACAGCCTGTGGATCCCCGAGCAAGCCCGAGAGGCTGGGGTAAGCTGGGGCTGCCCTGCAGCCGTGTAGCCAGGGAGCCGCGCGGTGCACAGGGTGAAGCGTTTGCCCTCGTTTCCTTCGCGTAGAGGGGAAGCTCAGTAGCATCGCTGCTCTCCACCAACGTGGCTGCAACACGACGTCTCAGTAACGCAGCAGAGGGCGATTCCCGCGCTGCGTGGCGGTGATAACTGTGGTCACGGCCCCAGCACCGTGTCAGCGTCGCTCTGACCTGTGCACGCTTGTGCCGCAGCTCTGCTGCAGAACTGAGCTTGTCCACAAGGCCTGCACAGGCACCGTTGTGTTACAGCCAGGAAGGTAAAAGAAAGCAGTTTTCTTTGGGCAGAAACTAATAAGCCAGAGATGAAGTCAGGAGCCAGGAGCTTCTTCCAGGTCTCCCACATGGGTGCAGGGGCCCAGGGACTTGGGCCATCTTCTACTGCTTTCCCAGGCCATAGCAGAGAGCTGGATTGGAAGTGGAGCAGCCGGGACTCGAACCAGCGCCCATGTGGGATGCTGGCACTGCAGGTGGCGGCTTAACCTGCTGCGCCACAGCACCAGCCCCTGGAAACTGCATTCCTGTGATGGGAGTCCAGCTCCAGTATGGAGTATTGCAGATGATGGGTGGGGCAAGAAGCTAACTTTGCTGGGTGTGCTTACGAGTATTCTTTCAGTTCTAACTCCACACTTGGAGAAGCAGGTAGCTTGGGGCCTCCTTGTCTTATGAACGCTAGCCAACGTTGATAGCATGATTTCTGTTTGTTTGCCAGGTGCATGTTAGACCCCCATACTGTGTGTTCTGTGTGCATTTTAATTCAGTTAAGCCTCACAGCAACTTTGAGAAGTAGATCAAGACAGCTACCCTCCTCTATGTGGGTAAACTGAGTTGGGACTGCCCAGGCAGTCTGGGTGCAGAGCTCACACCCAACACAGCTGTTGCCAGCTCCCTCCACATACAGGCCGTGGTTGCAGCCAGACCGTGCCCTGCCCTGTGTGGAGGTATTACACGTTCAGTGCTGTGTCCCCTAGGGGATCCATTTTGAGTAAGTCACAGTAGTGAGTCTGCGCCCGCACGGCGTGCCTGAGGCCCCTGCAGCAGGCTTGGGTAGGGCCCGAGAGCCTGCTGTCCTCACTTCCCAGCCAGGGACCACACTTGGAGAACCACCGAGTTCCGTGGCACATACAGCCTTGGGTTTTATTAGCCTTAGGAAGCGGGATGTTGATAATAAATAACGTAGGCCACTTGGGATAAGGCAGCAAAGGCGCTTTAGGGATTCTGTTAGGGGAAGGAGCCACGCCCGCCTGAGACAGTTGCTCTGTTCCCTGGAAGACCTTGTGTTCTTCCAGCGCAGCTCCGGGGCAGGGCGCTGGAAGGCAAGTGGCTCCCAGCGCGAGCCGCTGTTGGCCTTGTGATTTCCCAGTTCCCAGTGAGGCCAGTGACTACAGTCTTCTCTGCGGCCTGCACCTGGAGAAACCGCCCCACGTTGGGCCAGTGAGAACTCGTGACGTGTGGGATGCGTGTGGCCGACCGTGAGCTGGGGATGTGCATGACTAACGTGGTTGGTCTCCCATCTCTTGCTGCTCCCTCAGCCGCTGCAGGTGTCGGATGGCCCTGTGCCCCACACTACGCCCTTGGCCTCCAGCTTCCCTGCCTTGCTGCAGGCAGCCTACGAGAGCCAGATGCTGCGTGATGAGCATGTACAGGCGCAGCTGCAGGCCGCCCTCCCGGGCCTCCCCCTGCGCCAGATCCCACGCTCGGCCAAGCAAGTGCTGCTGTACTTGCGGAGCACCGTGGACAACTTCGGTCAGGTGAGCCTGTCCCCCGCCCTGGCTCCCGTGCTCCCACACTCCCTCCTCAGAGAACCTGGCCTTTGGCTTGGCGCCACACCCAGGGACAGGATTTCTGATGGCCTCAGGGCAGGCCCGTGGCTCCTTTGCACACCAGTTGGCACCGCCTTTTTTCCCCGGAGCAAGCAGGGACAGTCTCGGCCCCAGTCTGCACAGGCCAGCCGGCGCCCCAGCAGCTGGCTCCCTGTGTGCAGCTGCCGACTCCTGGTGGCTGTGGTCAGGACGGGGCCCTCCTGTGAGAGGCTGGGCAGTGGCCCAGCCAGGCGTCCCCTTGGTCTTTCATAAGTTCATTAACCCCGTAGCTTTCTGTCGCTGCAACAGTTAAGCTGGGAACCAAGTACTCAATCCAGGTTTCCCAGGTGGAGCCATCCTGGCTGCCTCTCCCAGGGTGTGCGTTAGCAGGAAGCCCTCCCGGCACGGGTGTGGAACCCCTCCCGGCACGGGTGTGGAACCCGGGTGCTCCCATGTAGAATGCAGGTGTGTAAACTGCTAGGCCAAGGGCCTGTCTCCGCTACTCTGGTGACGCAGGTCGTGGCAGTCCTGGTGGCCGCCAGCCCGCCCCGACTGAGGCTTGTGTGTCTCTCATCCTCACAGCTGGGCAGAAGCGCGGGGCCTCCCCTGCTGCTGCTCTTCCTGGACCTCCTCAGGCGCCTGGTTGTCCACTGTGAGCAGCTGGATGCCCAGAACCGGCAGAAGTGCGAGGCCGCCCGGGCCGAATCCGACCTCTTTCTGGACATGGAGTCCATGGCCGCGCTGGAGTTGGCCAATGACCAGGTTACTGTGACCCTGTCCCGCGGGTGCCCCCGCCCGTGGCCTTTTCCTGTGAAGTCACCGATAGGGGCCTTCTCTGCACTTCTGATCAGACAGATTTATTCTTGGTAGAAAAACAGAGAAATGCAGAAACCACAGCAGAGCTGCTACCAACTGCCTGTTACTCCCGCCCAGAGAGGAGCGTTGGTCCTCTGCAGGCACCGCGGGCAGCTGTCCCAGGCCTGCTGTGTGGTCTTGAGGAGCCCAGCGTGGGTTTTTCCCGAGTGGAGGACGGTGGTGGGCAGGTGCACTGGGGAACTCGTGCTCCCAGCAACAGCCAGCGCCTCTCTCCTGGCATCAGGCTGGACGGCAGCTGTGTCAGGGGGCCGGGGCTGTTCGTCACAGCTGGGAGGCAGACACGTTCCGTACCTCGCAGTGTCATGGACCTGCACACTACAGCCCTCCTGCTTTGGTCTCCAAGTTGACTTGTGGGCGGCCTTTGGGTGCTTTGGGGGGGGGGCAGCACCCCGACACGTGGGCTGCTTTTCTGCTCCTGGCTGATACTGCTCTCTTGGAAGGGGCCAGGGCTCCTCTTGCCTCCTCTGATTGAATAACGAGGAAGAAAACTCCCTGCCGTCCCGTCCTGGGCGGGACTTGGTGGCTGGGGCATCAGGATCCGATCTTGGTCCAGTCCCTCCGTGGGTGCTCAGCTGCCTTCTCGTCTCCTCTGCTGGGGTCGCATCTGGTCTCAGGGACCTCCGAGACCCTGTCTTCTGAAAGTGGAAACAGGACCACCTTCAGGCTGGGACTGGGGCCCTTTAACCCCAGTCTGCCTTCCGCAGACACATGGTCTTAGTTAGGCTGTACTCACCTCTCCCCAGCTGTTGGGAGACCCCCGAGTTCTCTTGGAGGGCCAGGCTGCGGAGAAGCCAGTGGGTGAGTGGTCTTCATCACGTTAGTGTCTGTGCGTGGCCTGGCCTCTCCGCCCGCTGGCTGTGAGAGCAGTGTTGCACACAGTAGGCCACCCGGGCTGGATTCATCAGACACCTGCTCATGATCTGGGGCGCTGACGAGTCCCTGGTGCCCACGGCCGTGCAGGGGAGGCCATGTGTGACCTTGTGGCCGTGTAGCTCTGATGGACAGCAGCTGGGGCGCGTACACCTGCAAGGGCTGTGGAGGACGGGCTGGGGTAGGAAGGCTGCCCTCTGCTCTCTCACTGAGCAGGGCCCATACGCGCACAGCAGTCGCTGCCTCTTTCCCCGCCCTGAGCCCTGCCTGAGGCTATGCCTTGTCGCTGTCTTTCAGACCCTGGAGGAGGTGCTGGTGGCCGTCCTCGGACACCCCACGCTGGAGGGCTGGTTCCTGGCCCTGGAGCAGCAGGCCCTGCCCCCACACACCCTCAGCCCCGTCCTTGTGAAGCTGCTCGCAGCCCACTTCAGTGCCGGGGTCCTTCAGCTGCTGGGGTCGTGTGCCCCGATCCTGCAGAGCAGGGCTCAGCTGGGCCTCCTTTCCAAGTACTCGGAGGCCATCACTCGAAGTGTGCTCAAAGAGCTGCGAGCGAGGAGGGCAGGCCCAGCCCCGTCGTCACCCAAGACCCCGCCTCAGCTGGAGGCCCTGCGGGAGCTGCACCCGTACATGGAAGGCACCCAGCTCCGCGAGGTCACGCTGGCCCTGTTGGGCCTGCCCGAGGCCCAGCTGCTGGCCCGGCGCCCCACAGAGTCCGCCGGGGAGGAGAGGCGCCTGAGCGCTCTGGGGAGGACCCTGGTGCAGCTGCTCACCAGCAGCCGCCCGGACCGGCTGCAGAGTGGCGAGCTCCTCTGGTCCTCGGAGTACGTGAGAGGCCTGGGGGCTCTGCTCCCCGCGCTGGCCGTGGATGAGCTGGACGCCGTGTTCCTCCGCGCTCTGCAGAGAGACCCGGAGCTGGCGCCCGTGGCCGGGGCCGAGCTGCTGCACTACTGCCTGGCCCGGCGGACACAGGCCGCCCTCGGCATCGCCGCGCTGCTCCTCCAGCAGAGCTGCACCCACCTGCTGGGCTTTGAGCTGTGGTGCAGGCAGCCCGGCGCCGGGCTCGGCCTGCAAGAGGACCCGGATGACTTCCTGCCCCTCGTCCACGAGTACCTCCGGTGCCGCACGCGGGGGCTCTTTGCACGCCCGGCAGGAGGTAGGAGAGAGGATGGGCAGCTGGGATGTTGAAGCGGGAGGAGCTGAGGCACTGAACTGTGGGGCCGCCCCCAACCCCTGCCACTCCGCATCCTGAGGTGTGGTTTGCCTCTGGCTCCTCTGGCATCTGACCCGCCTCCAAGGACTGAGAAAGCTGCAGCCCTCTCGGGGCCTGTTGACCTCATGGCTTGACTCACGCCCCTTGTGCTACCCCATAGAGGCCGGGGGAGGGCTGGGCAGTGACTGGGGCCACCGGGCCTGTCTGGTGAAGCTGCGGGAGCCACTCGGGGATAAGCCTTCGCTCGTCCGTCCTGCCCTCCCCACCTCTGGAGGAAGGTGGCTGAGTCCATCACCTCTAATGAGTTCCTGTGCATTGAACCCGCGTGAGTTTGCACTCATCGCTTTCCCTGTTCCGCACGCTTTCTCCCAGAGTGACAGGTGTTTGTGGAAGACAGCGCCCTGCAGCAGGGACCTTCCGGTCCTGTGAGTTCAGAGCTCCTGGCATGGACTCGGTTGGGGCCATCCCCGGGTCCGCTGGCTAGAGCGTAGAACTGGACACTGAAGGGAGCGCCTGGGGCTGCTGAGTCCACCAGGAAAGGCAGATAAACGCAGCCCCTGTGAGCTGCCCTGAGCCGCCTCCAGCCGCCATTGCCTGTGATGACGTCGCCTCTGTGTGTCTGTCCTAGTGTCCTCCGCTGTGGTTCCTGTCCTGAGGAAGGCGCTGTGGAGGCGGCTGCAAGACAGGCTTCTCAGTGCCGACGACTCCCCCGCGTCGGACCTGCACCACGAGGTCCTGGCCCAGCTGGTCCCGTTCGCGAGAGCCAAGGATCTCCGCGTTCTCATGGGCCAGCTGCCCGGCTTGCTGCAGGCTCCGGGCACTCACAAGGGGTAGGAGGCTCAGGCTGCCCGGTGGCTGGGGCCCACTGCTCTTTCTGGAAGTAACACGGTGAAAGATGAGTGGCTGTGTTGCTGTTGTGTCGAGCTGTGGGAGGGCTGCTCCTATGAGAAGTCTGCGTTTCAGCCCCCTGGCCGGGCAGATGCGTCTCTGAGTGGAGGGCGGAGGCTGATTGCCCGAGATGGGTGGTTCCGGGGACACAGTTGGCGGTGCCCACGTTTGTTATTGTCCCACCCTGGCATCTAACATGCAGGGGGCCAGGGTACTACTAAGTCCCCCCCACACACACACAGGGAAGCCCCCAGAAAAAAGAGTCACGTGGCCCAGAATGCCAGTAGCGCTGCAGTTGAGACACCTGGTCTTGACAAAGCTGGCCGTAGAGCCATTTTCTGGAGTGTTACTATGGTTCTCCTTAGTGGTAAAAACCCTGGGATGTGTCTGATGTTGGCTCAAGAGTGCCGGGAGACCCGTGCTCCCTTGAGAGGGGGCATCTGTCCTCTGTGCCCTGCTGGATCTCAGCCTCCCTCTCACTCTGCGACTCCTCTGTCTCCCGCTGCAGCTGGAGTGTGGCAGACTCCATCTCGGCGGCCCTGGAGGGCTCGGCAGAAGAGCTGGCTGCCTGGAGGAGGACCCTGCTGGAGTCCTGCATCAAGTGGCTGCTCGCGTCTTTCAGCGGGAGCCCCCAGGGTGATGACGGCGCCCGGGGCCAGGAGAAGCAGATGCTGCTCAGACTGAATGAGTTGCTGGTGGGTGTCCTTTCCCAGTCAGAGGGTTAACTTCAGGGGGAGGCGTGCCAAGACGGACCAGATTTGCAGATACGTTTCAGGCCGTGTGGCAGATGAGAAGGGCCCAGGGGTGGAGCGGCAGCCCCTCGGTGGCATCTCATCAGGAACGGATGCTGGAGTTTGTCAGCTGCTTTTTTTTTTTTTTTGACAGGCAGAGTGGACAGTGAGAGAGAGAGACAGAGAGAGAAAGGTCTTCCTTTGCCGTTGGTTCACCCTCCAATGGCCGCCGCTGCAGCCGGCGCACCGCGCTGATCCGATGGCAGGAGCCAGGATCCAGGTGCTTTTCCTGGTCTCCCATGGGGTGCAGGGCCCAAGCACCTGGGCCATCCTCCACTGCACTCCCTGGCCATAGCAGAGAGCTGGCCTGGAAGAGGGGCAACCGGGACAGAATCCGGCGCCCTGACCGGGACTAGAACCCGGTGTGCCGGCACCGCAAGGTGGAGGATTAGCCTATTGAGCCACGGCGCTGGCCCTGTCAGCTGCTTTTTTGCATCTAAGATATTACATACGATCTCGTGTTTCAGTTAGCCCATCAGCACGATGAATTATTCCGAATGTTAAGACAACCTTGCATTCCCGAGATTAGCCTATGAATGTGATGGACTGTCCCTTTTATACGTACATTGTTGAATTTGATTTTCTTAGAATTTTTAGATTTTCGTGTGTGCTCTTACTTCCCTGGCATGTCACAGAGCAAGCTGGGAAGTATTTCACCGGGTGTGAAGTCCTGGTTGATGGCTTATTTGTTTTCTAAGTATTTTAAAGATGTTATTTTTCTAAGTATTTTAAAGATGTTATCTTTATTCCCAGTAAGAAATCTCTCCTCCTGTCTTTGCTCCTCTGTTCATTGTTTTTTTTTTTTCCCCCTCTGGGTGATTTTCATGTTTTTTGAACCTCAGTGTAGTTTTCGTCAAGTTTCTCGTGCTTGGGGCTCAGTGGTGTGCAGTGATAGTTTTATGAAATTCAGAATCATTTGGCCACTCTTCTCACGAGTTGTCTTTTTCCCCTGGTGTGTGAGTGACATTGCATTAGGAGTCCTGCAGCCTGGGGCTCGTGGTTAACTCTGAACCCAAGACCTTGTGACCGTGAGCAGGCCTGCTCGCCCTAGATACGTGTGTGGGTCATCAAGTTGCTCTCAGAGACTTGAAAGCCTCTACTTTCAGGCTTGATTCCTCGTGTCAGAGCTTTGTGAATGGAGGGCGCACGAATGCTAGTGTGTGGATGACACACCTGAGTGCCCTCACCCCATCACCTCGTAAAGTTCCTGTGCTTGTCTCCAAAACCCCCTCACCCTCAGATCACCTCCGTGCAGTGTAAGCCAACACCACGCGTGTGTGTGTCCGGCTTCCTTCCGGGTGTGGGGATGAGTGGTTCTGGTTGCCAAGCAGCGTCCGTGTGTGACACCCCCTCCCGCCTCCTCTCCCGAACGTTTTGAATTACTGGGTTTTGTGATCCTGAAACCAGCCAGCACACTCATTGCAACCATAAGCGACGCAAAGACAACAAGAAGGAAGTGAACAGTCTCCACTAGGTAGAGCCGTCCCATTACGTGTTTGGGGAACGGCGGCCCGGGGATCTCGCGTGGTCCGTCTTCATGCCCCTGCTCAGTCGTCTTGAGTGACGTCCTGAAAGAGGAGCCGCCGGAGCCGTGCCCGGGCAGGGAGACGCGGCTGCTGCTTGCCTTTCCCCTGCCGCCTCTGGCAGCGTGGTCTCCAGGGCGTGGCCAGCCTGCCGGAGGCAGTGGCCCGAGCGCACAGTGGCGCTAGCCGGTCCCTCTGGTGCCAGCATCACTCTCCTGTCACACAGACCGTTTCACGCCGTGCAGCCTGAGGATGGGGGAAGCTGGTCCATGGGTGGTCTTCTGCTCTTTCCAGTCCCTTAGTGCCATCTGCAGTGGAAGACAGGACAGAGTGACAGGGCGCTCGGAAAGTTTCCTCTTGCCCGTTGTGATCGTGCGTATGCCAAGAGAGTGCCAGCACTCCTGCAGAGATAACCTCTCTCTCAAACGTGAAAGCAGTGCGTTTTCCAGAGCAGGCGCCTTCCTGCAGGTTGTGTGGTTGGGTTTTCTTCTTAGTGTCTTCAGAAGTCACTGAGATATTCCACGTGGATGTCTTGCTTTCTTTATTCCTAGCATGCATGTAACGAAGTTGATCCCGGGGACTGGCAGAAATTTGTGAAGACGGGACTCAAGTAAGTGGATTTGAGAATCTTGGTGCCATCTGGTGAAAGAGTCAGTGTCACTCACTGATGCTGGGACGCTCCTTTATCTCCTGCTGTTCGCGTTACACACGGCACAGCGGCTGTGGTCTCCGTAGTAGAGACGAGAGCCATTGGAAGGATTAAATGATCTGCCCGACGGCACACGGGGCCAGTGGTGAGGAGGAGGAAGCAGTGTTACTAAAACAGGAGATATTCAGTAAATACAAAAATGTGCAGAGACTAGTAGCAGTACTCAAATGTAATAAATGCTGATAGTTTTCTACCTGGGAGTGCTTCCAAAAGTTCATAGAAAGTTTTGTCGTGCAAAAAATTAGGAAATTCATGCATGCAAAGGCATCTTCAAAAAGTTCATGAAAAATGCATGTTAAGAAGCTACATGTGGGCCAGCGCCACGGCTCACTAGGCTAATCCTCTGCCTGCGGCGCTGGCACACCGGGTTCTAGTCCTGGTCAGGGCACTGGATTCTGTCCCGGTTGCCCCTCTTCCAGGCCAGCTCTCTGCTGTGGCCAGAGAGTGCAGTGGAGGATGGCCTAAGTGCTTGGGCCCTGCACCCCATGGGAGACCAGGATAAGTACCTGGCTCCTGCCATCGGATCAGCGCGGTGCGCTGGCCGCAGCGCACTGGCCGCGGCGGCCATTGGAGGGTGAAACAACGGCAAAAGGAAGACCTTTCTCTCTGTCTCTCTCACTGTCCACTCTGCCTGTCAAAAAAAAAAAAAAAGAAGAAGAAGCTGCATGTGGATTTAAAAAAAAATTTATTTATTTGAGAGGCAGAGAGATCTATCCACTGGTTCACTCCCCAGATGGCTGCAACAGCCAGAGCTGGGCCAATCCAAACCCAGGGGCCAGAAGCCAGGAGCTTCTTCTGGGTCACCCACATGAGTGCAGGAGCACAAGCAGTTGAGCCATCTTCCACCCTTTCCCAGGCCATAGCAGAGAGCTGGATTGGAAGCAGAGCAACTGGGACTCGAACCAGTGCCCATTTGGGCTGCCAGCACCACAGGTGGATGCTAAACCTGCCGTGTCAGAGTACTGGCCCCTGGATTTTTAACACCAAACTATACCTGTCTTAGTCCTATTTTCCACACACTATAAAGTTCTCTCATGCTTGTCCTAATTCATTGTCACACACACACACACACACACACACACACCCAAAAGTCACCAGTCTCCCAAGGCTGTGCTCTGGTGTGTGCAGATTTTCCAGCTCTGTATTGATGTGTCCTTGTGTGCTTCTTTTTTTTTTTTTTTTTATTTTGACAGGCAGATTTAGACAGTGAGAGAGAGAGACAGAAAGGTCTTCCTTTCCGTTGGTTCACCCCCCAAATGGCTGCTATGGCCGGCGCTGCACCAAACCAAAGCCAGGAGCCAGGTGCTTCCTCCTGGTCTCCCATGCGGGTGTAGGGCCCAAGCACTTGGGCCATCCTCCACTGCCTTCCTGGGCCACAGCAGAGAGCTGGACTGGAAGAGGGGCAACTCGGACAGAATCCGGCACCCCAACCGGGACTAGAACCTGGGGTGCCGGTGCTGCAGGCTGAGGATTAGTCAAGTGAGCCGTGGCGCCGGCCTTTATGTGTTTCAACAATAACGTTGTTCAGTGTATTTAGCATTTTACACTGATCTCTCCTTTGTGTGTCCGGTTTCTCGGACACTTCTGTTTTATCCACACCAATACGTGTCCATCTTAAGTCATGCATTTTGACCACTGTAGAATGTTCCACTTTCTGACTGTGTATGAGTTTTTTTGGTTTGTTTATTCCCCCAAAAAGCTGCCCCTAGCAGGGACTCATGCTGCTTGCCATGCAGGTGGTGGTGTTGGGGTGGGATGGGGCCCCTGCTGGCCATTAGCATCAGCACACCTCCAACTTCACAAGGCTCTCAGCTCTCCCTGGTGCTGCGTGGGTGACTGTGGGCTCCTGGCATGGCGTGTGTGAGTTCATTTGCCCTCACAGGTCACTGACACTTGATATGGTCAGACCCTAGTTTGTGGCAATGGGAGAATCATGAAACGATGTTTTGTTGCTCCTGTAACTTAAAAATCAAAGAAGTTTTTCACTCTACTTGAAAGACAGAATTTTCTTTCCATTGGTTCACCACCTCACTGCAGCAACTGGAGCTAGAACAGACCGAAGCCAGGATCCTGGAATGGAGTCTGGGTCTCCCTTATGGGTGGAAAAGACCCAAGTACTTGAGCCATCACCTGCTGCCTCCCAGGGTGTGCATCAGCAGGAAGCTGGATTGGAAGCAGAGCCAAGATTTGAACTGGGCACTCTGATAGAGGATGTGGGCATGTGAAGAGGGGTCTTAGCCACCGTACAAACACCCACTCCTGTACCTTCTGCGCTGTCTGACGGACGGTCTGTGCAGCAGAGAGCAAGGAGGAGGGAGGCCGCCCTGGCAGGGGGGCTCGGAGACCCGGTGTGGTCTCTGCTGAGGCTTAGCTCCTCTGCTGCCTGCGGGCGCCTCAGCTGCTCAGGGCTTTGTTTGGTGTTTGTGTGATAAAGCAAGTAAGTGTGCTGCATCCCCCATTTGGCTTGAGAGGTGCAGTGGTGACGGGCGGGTCCCTGTGAGAGAGTGTGGCACCGTCGGTGGTAGGATCTGCAGCGGGGGTCTGCGGCCGTTCCTGGGAGATCTTCGCCTGGTGCTGTGTTTGAAAAGCTGAGGGAAAGGCTTGTTTGTCTCCTGTGAGGTAAAGTTGCCCTTTTGTGAAGCACTTCTCCCTCGGTCTGCTGCTGCTAGGTCTCGATACCAGGACCACACGTTTCTGAAGACCCTCTGTGCGGCCACCCAGCTCCTGTACGCCCCCGGAAGCCCCGGGTGCACGACGCTCATCCAGCTCCCGCTGGTCCACACCATGCTCACCCAGCACTCCCTGTTCTTGCCCACGCTCCTGAAGTCTGAAGAAGAGGACGTCCCTGACACCCAAGTGAAAGGTAGCCCCCTGCCCCCTCCCCTTGCAGACCCCGATCTTACTCCCTGGTATCCTCCGCCTTCATTCAGCTCTGCACCAAAGCTTGTCTCGTGTGTTTTCAGGGCCAAGGGCCCATTACCAGAATGGTGTGGGGGTCCCTTAGTTCTGTCAGATCTGAGGTAACGCCTGTTTCCTCTGCCTTGAAGTCAAGTAGGCTCTGCAGACCTGTTGTTCAGGCCCTGCTTGGCTGCAGAAGTCCTATCTGAGGTCGTATTGCCATACTGTGGGCTAGCATTAAAATCTAGGAATTAGGGAAATTAGGGTATGGGGGAAGTATATAGACATCTGAAATGAAATCGAGAAGTTGGACACGTTGTTTTTTTTTTTAAGATTTATTTATTTATTTGAAAGGCAGAGAGAGAGGTCTTCCATCCGCTGGTTCACTCCCCAAATGCCCGCAACAGCTGGAGCTGAGCTGATCTGAAGCCAGGTGCCAGGAGCTTCCTCTGGGTCTCCTACAGGGGTGCAGGGGCCCAAGGACTTAGGCCATCTGCTAATGCTTTCCCAGACCTTAGCAGAGAACCAGATGGGAAATGGAGCAGCCGCAGCTCGAACTGGTGCCCATATGGGTTGCTGGCACTGCAGGCGGTGGCTTTACCCGCTACGCCACAGCGCCAGCCCCTGAAATTTGTTAATGAGAAGATTGCAACTTTTAGCGAGGGAAAGGGTAAAACTTGTCAGCAGTTGTTGCTAGGAGACTTCTCGAGCCCCAAGTTGGGCTGCATTCCTGCTTCATCAGTGTGTGCGTCAGTGCCCACGTGGGTGGGCTGCGGGAGGGTCAGAGAAGGTGGGCTGTAGGTTCCCACCCTCAGTGCCCCCCTGTGTCTAGAGAGGAAGTCACGCCCCTACATCACGAGACGTCACTACAGGTTCAGTCTAGTTCAGGCCTGCGTCACTGTGATTCCATCATTGTGCGAACGTTGCAGAATGTACTTACGCAGGCCTGGAGGGCACAGACCCATTGCTTGGTGTGGCCTCTTGCTGCAGCTGATCTGTGCGGTGAACACCACGTGTGTGGGGCTGCTGCCCTGTACTACGCAGTAGCATAAAGGCTGTAGTATAGTGAATGCCTAACCCTGTCCTAAGTGCTTCTCCACGGCCAAGTGTGCTGCGCTGGGCGCACCTGCGTGCCTTCTGCTTTAGACACAGATAGTGCAGAATTGTTCACCCCAGTGTCGCCACAGACACGCAAGGAGACCAGCAGGCTGGCTCTCATGGGCGTTGCTAGGCAACAGGAATGGTTCAGTCCTGGGTGGCCTGCGAGGCAGGTGGGGACAGTGAGCAGAGAATGGTGTTCAGCCGTGTCAGAGACCCAGGAAGACAGGTGATGGAGAAGACACTGATGTAAAGCTGAAGAGACACGGGGAAGGGACTGGATGGCAGCCCCAAGGGGACCCCTTGAAAGTCTCAGTGGCTCCTGGTGGGCTTCCCACGTTTAGCCTGAGCGTCACGCCCCGGCAGAGCTGTGTGGCTCACGCTGTTTTATTCCCACATTTAGCCTGAGCGTCACGCCCCGGCAGAGCTGTGTGGTTGACGCTGTTTTATTCCAGAAGCCCTGGTGGACCTGATGCTGATGGTGGTGAGGATGTGTCCCTCTGTGTGTGAGAGCAGCCACTTCGCCGTGCTTCTCGGGGCCTACGGTGCCACCCTCAGTGTCCTAGGTGAGGTTTGAGAGCCCGGGGCTGAGAGTGGGGAGTGTGTAAGTGGTGGGAGGGGTGAGCAGCGAGCTGTGGTCATCGCAGGTGTAGCAGGGAGCATGAGTGCGAGTCTGTGGGGCCTGGTGGGACTGGGGGAGGGTGTGACCACTGTTAGTGACCAGGAACCACGTGAGGGCTGTGCCATGAGCGTGGGGTGGGGTGCCTCCCATGGTAGTGTTCCTCAGGGGTTCCACTTTCTAAACTGACCCTCACTTGGCTTACAGACCAGAAAATTTTACTTCTGCTCCGGGCGTATGAAAAGAACAACCTCAGCCTCATCGACTTCAGGTGCGTGTGGGGCGCCGTCAGAGTGGCAGGCCGGACGGTGCCCGCCCCAAGACGCTGGCGCCCTCTCCACGCAGCGAGCTCCAGCCTTGAGGTTTCTTTGTGCCTTTTCTGATTCCCAAGGAAAAGGCAGGGTTGCCGGGGCTCCCCTAGCACCACATGGGCTGCTCCATGAAAACCGGCCCCTGCTGACAGTGGGTGCCTGCCTGTCCAGGACCTGCCCCCAGCCTCACACCTGGGCTCCAGTGTCTGGTTTAGGAGACTTTTCCAATAACCTTTTCCTTCATGCTTTAACTTGTAAATTATTTTTAAATTTACTTGAAAGAGAGATAGTCAGAGATCGTCCATCCTCTGGTTCACTCCCCCAGTGCCTACAACAACCAGGGCTGGGCCAGGCCAAAGCCAGAAGCCGTGAACTCAGTCCAGGTCTCCCACATGGGTGGCAGAGACCTGAGTGCTTGAGCTGTCACGTGCTGCTTCCCAGGGTGTGCATCAGCAAGGGTGCTGTAGTCAGGAGCGGAGCTGGGATTTGAACCCAGGAGCTCTGATTCGGGTCACGGGTGTCTCACTTGGCATCCTAACCCCTACACCAGACTCCCACCTCTTCATCTTTACTTGATGCGGTGTCTCATTGACGCGAGGAGGACTGAGCAGATGTTAAATCTCTCTCCTGTGTGTGTGTGCACGCGTGTGTATGTCTGCCCACGTCCTGGGGCTGGGCTCGGTGCCTCTCCCCGGGCACCCTGCCCCCTCTCTGCGAGTGCTAGGGCCGAGTGGGGACTTGGTCAGATGGTACTGTAGATAGGAAACACTTTGGGACCCGCTTTGCTTCTCTGGATTCCCCTCTCCTCCTCTCATCTGGGACAGCACCCTGCTATCAGCCAGCAGGAATGTGAAGAAGTGCGTTGTGTGTTCAGACGGGAACTGAGCTCAGGGGGCCAGGCGGAGAGCGGGGAGAGCCCTACAGTGCCAAAGGCTGGGCTAGCCCGGAAGCTGCCACCCCATTCTCCCCAAGAAGGAAAGAACAACAAAACGTTGAAATCGTCTTCTTGCTCTTAAGGATGGCAGGTCTTCAGCAAACGTTCTTTACTTCCACTTCCGCACGGGCCTCGCTCAGTTGCCTTCTGGAATAGAACGGCCCCTGCACAGGTGAGGGCGAGGCAGGCCGTGTCACCGGGAAGCCCCCGGTGGCTGCATGGAGCCCCTCCCACTTGGAGAGCTGAGCGGGCTGAGTGGGGCGGCGAGGTGCCGGCAGACGGGTTGGCATTGGTTGGGAGAGTCCAGGTCCAGCTCCCCGGGGAGACAGTGGCTAGAGGACCCAAGGTAGCCAAGGGTGCAAGGTTTTCCTCAGACTCTAAGTCAGCGTCACCACCTCCTGAGGTGACGGAGCAGGCCTGGACCAGGGAGCCCCGTGGCGCACAGCACAGCGGACGCCGCCATCTGCCAGGCAGTGGGCTGTCGAAGGGTGTGGCGGGGCATTAGCTGCCTGCCTGCTGGGAGTGCCCTCTGGAGGGCGGTCCTCCGTGTCGTCTTGTCACTCACTGCTGTTTCCTCGGCAGAGAGGCGTCTCCCTCGGGAGGCCTTCACCTCGGTAGTGTTGGTGGAGCACCTGCTATGGAGCAGGCCCTGGGCGCGGCACAGTCGGGACCACTCAGGGCCGTGGTTACGGAAACGCAGGCTGACGAGAGGCGGCTCTGTGTGAGTTGGCACCTGGCTCCCCCGTGGCATGAGCCACTGACACAGCCCAGGGCACGCTGCCCCAGTGGGCTGGCATTGGAAGGACAGGGAGGCATGGGGTGGGGCAGGTGTGGCAGAGGAGCCTGGGCCATGCCTAAGTGCGAGAAAATTATTCTCATTTGTTGTTCCTTTCTTCTTGAGGGGATAGGGTGGGGTGGCTTCCGGGCTAGCCCCGGTTTTCCCTGCAGGGCTCTCCCTGGCCTGCTTAGCTCAGTTCCCTGAACACACAACGCCCGTCCTCACGTCCTCATCGGCAGTTGTCAGGTGCTGGTCCCAGATGTGAGGCAGAAAGGGGAGTCCAGGGCAGCCAAGAGGACCCCAAAGTGTATTCTATGAACTGCACACACACTCGGTCAGGTTCCCGCTTGCAGAGGTGGGCGGGGCCTCCCAGGGATTGGCACCAGGCCCAGGCCCCAGGACCTGAGCTGGGAGGGAACAGCACGGCCGGCGGTGAGGAGCTGGGAAACCAGGACATCTGGGGGAGTGTTTGGGGTGGCCCGTCCAGGTCTTAGGGTGTGTGCTGGAAGGCCAGGCGGCTGGTTAGGGAGGACGCAGGCCCCCAACAGAAGACTTCCAGTCCATCGGGAGATGGCAGAGAGCTGAGAGGTGTTCCGGAGTGGAGAGGCGGCCCTCTTCAGGGCTGGGTGTTGGCCAGGGCCCTGTAGCAGTGGGGAGGAGGAGAGGCACAGGGAAGAAGAGAGAGGCCCGTGTCGTGTTGTTCTTCAGGTGGAAGGTGAGGTGCGCCTTTGTGAGCTCTGTGGCTGGGAGCTGGAGTGAGCTGGTCCTACGTGACGCACGGGCAGACTCAAGGGTGAGGGCAGCAGAAGGCTTTCACACAGGCCTGGTTCGCGCACACAGCCCCGTGTGAGCAGGGAGAGGGCAGGGCCTGTGGTCCAGCACGGACTCTGGACCAGACTTGCCGAGCAGGAACCGTGGCTGTGCCGCTCGCCTCCGGGCAGGTGACCCGTGGGGCCGCTTCCTCACTCCTCTCTGCAGCTCTCCCTGCCATTTGCCCAAGGGGCAGCAGTAGCGCCTGCCTTGCAGGGTCGTAAGTCAGGGACTTGAAATACAATGCCTGGCACGTGGTAAGTGCAGTGCTGCATGGGTGCTGGCTTCTGTCATCGTCACAACACTGCCCTCCCCTCCCTCGCCACCGCCAGCTCCGGAGGCTGTGACAGGGGTAAGGGAAGGAATGCACGTGGTGGGGGTGAAGTGTGTCTCGACGGAGGCCACCCAGTGTGGTCGCTGTTGCTCTCACTGTGTTCCTGCTGGGACGCTGGGACCAGTCCCTCCTCCCCTCTCCGGCCCTAGGGTGCTGCTGTGGGGCCCGGCGGCCGTGGAGCACCACAAGACGTGCCGCAGCCTGGGCAAGTCACTGTGGCAGCAGCCGAGCCCCGGGGACATCCTGCGCCTGCTGGATCGCGACCGGGTCTTGCACACCATCCTGCACTTCCCCCAGCGCCGGAAGCTGCTGCCGCCCGAGGTACCGTGCCGCTGTCCTGCCCCCTCCCCCACCCCTCCCAGGGCGCCGTCTGCATCCTGGGGCAGCAGCCGACTGCTCCGAGGTACAGCGCTCCAGCGGTCAGCAGCCACGTCCCTTTGTTGGCAACCCCTGCCCCACCGATTGCAAAGACCGTTATCCGTTCACGCACAAGTTCTGCCTTTCACAGGACCCCTTGGCGTTCTGGCAGTCACCGGAAAATGCTCAGGCAGTACGAGTCGAGCACCCCTAATCTGAGTGCTCAGCGTCCGAGTCTTGTTGAGCACCAGCAAAACGCTTGCAAAGGCTCTGATTGGGGAGCGTTCAGATTCCAGCCTTCAGACTGGGGACGCTGAGCCAGTAAACCTCGGATCCTCCACCACTGTGGGATGGAGACCCTCGGCCTGGGCTCCCTCTGCGAGGTGACATTCTGCGGTCGGTTTTGGCTGTTTCAGGACGAGCAGGAGCCTGTGTTTGAAGACAAGAACGTGAGGGTGGATCTCGGTGGCCTCTACGACCCCTGCTTTCTCCTCCATCTCTTCAGTGAACTGACCAGGCCCGGTGAGTGCCCCACTCGGCCCCACTGCTCCTCGCTGCCCTCAGCGGCACGTCAGGACCTGAGCTTGGGAAGGATTCCTGAGTTGTTGCAGCTGGTGGCCAGACACCAGAGCGGTGAGAGGGTGTGTACTGTGAACGGGTCCGAGCCTGCTGGGGCCGCTCGGTTCTCTGGGCATCTGGGCATCTTTGAGTAGGTGCGTGGGCAGGGAGAGGGAGCAGGTTCGCGGGCAGGGAGAGGGAGCAGGTGCACGGACAGGGAGAGGGGCGGGAGCGGGTCTGTGCGCACACTCTGTGGAGCCGCGGCTGCTGTCCCCTGGCTGGCAGGTCCGCTGCCCTGGGGCCTCCTGACCATGTGTGGCAGAAACTGGCTGCAGTATCAGTTCGATGGGGACGTGAACGTCCTTGGGGTAGGATGTCTCTTTGTGCCTTCAGTCTGGTTTCTGATCAGATTGTTTGCTGTTGAGTTTGGGGGTCCCTTGTCTTTGGAGGACGTGTGGCGTGCAGCCATTCCTCCTGCTGTGGGTCTTCCGTGGCGCACAGCCTTGGGTTTGAGGAAGTCCAGTCAGTTGTACAAGTGTGTGTCTAGAACTCTGCCTGCCCCTGGATCCTGAGGGATTTCTCTTGTGCTTATTTCTCAAGTTCATGGTTTTGTGCTTTACACGGGCCATGATCTGTACAGAGTTTGTCTTTGTATCAGACAGGAGGTTCAGGCCGAGGTTCATTTGTCGGCCTCTAGGTGTCTGATTGTTCCACCCTATTTGAGGAGAAGGCCAGGGCTGCGGGCCAGAGTGGGGTCTCAGGGCGCTTTCCTGGATGGGAGGGTAGAAGCGGCTGTGGTCCCAAGGCTGGGGGAGCTGTGTCACCGCAGGGCAGTGGGGGAGCCCTCTCTCCACTGGGCTTCCTCTGACACCGCCTGGGGACTGAGGCAGGCCTACCATGACAGTCCAGAAGGGCCTCAGATTTGGGGGCGAGGCCTGGCTCCCCACTCCCTGGTGCTGGCGTGGGGCTCAGAGCAGTGTCTGTCCAGTAGTCGGTCTCGCTCGGCTGCCCCTTCCCGGACTTTTTAGTAGCCGTGCCTGGTGTCTTCCACTCAAAGTCTGGGACGCTTGAGGCAGAACAACCTGGGCTCTGGGGCGCTGGCTGCCTCATCCGTCCTGGGTCTCAGCGTCCCTGGCTGGCTGCTGTCTCTGTGCTCTCAGGGCCACCTGTGTTTATTTCCAGAGTTTTAGTTTCACTTAGTAAGAAGTTAGGGGGGCCGGCGCCAAGGCTCACTAGGCTAATCCTCCGCCTTGCAGTGCCAGCACCCTGGGTTCTAGTCCTGGTTGGGGCGCCGGATTCTGTCCCGGTTGCCCCTCTTCCGGGCCAGCTCTCTGCTGTGGCCAGGGAGTGCAGTGGAGGATGGCCCAAGTGCTTGGGCTCTACACCCCATGGGAGACCAGGAGAAGCACCTGGCTCCTGCCATCGGATCAGCGTGGTGCGCCAGCCACAGCGCGCTGGCCACAGCGGCCATTGGAAGGTGAACCAACGGCAAAGGAAGACCTTTCTCTCTGTCTCTCTCTCTCACTGTCCACTCTGCCTGTCAAAAAAAAAAAAAAAAAGGAAGTTAGGGGAAAGTGTGCCTATTCCTTCGTCCCAGAACTGAGAGCCTAATGCAATCAGTTCTAGCATTAGATAGTGCAGCACAGATCGAAATTCGGCTGGGGAGGGTGGGGAAATGAGTGGTTTCGTGGGCCACCGGTTAAGACCCTGCTATGACTCTGGTACCCCCAGATCAGGACGCCGGTTCAAGTCCCAGCAGAGCCCTGCTGATGCACCTGGAAAAGTAGTAGATGATGGCCCAAGTACTCGGGCTCCTGCCACCTACATGGGAGACAGGTGGGAGTTCCTGGCTGTTGGCTTTGAACCAGTGCAACATTGCCAGTGCAAGCTTTTGGGCAGTGGGTCAACAAATGGACGATCTCTGTCATTCTGTCTTTCAAATGAATCAGGAACTTCAGCTGGGCTGAAGGGCATGCAGTGCAGATCTCTTCCTGCCACGCCCTTGGCCGGGGCCTCTTCACTCAGCGGGGAGCACATGTTAGCAGATGTTTGTGTCGTCTCCAGGGCTCAGGGGCTGCGCAAGGCCCGGTGAGCTGCCAGTCTGGCTGTGACAGAGAACCTCCTGGGACTGGGGGCACAGGCATGCATAGTCTGCGCTTGTTGGCACAGCCAGCCTCATACTCCCCAGGGCTCCTTTCTGCAGGATTGGATAGCTGAGCTGTGCCCCTTTGTAAGTCTGAAAATGTCTCTCCTTACCCTTGGGAGCAGTTGCTGATCCTCTCCTGCCCTTGTAAACCCCTTCACACAGTGGATAGGGCCGGCTGTCGGTAGAGAGTTCCCATCTCCAGCCGTGTGTGCTGGTTCTAGCTCCCCTGTGCTGACCCTGCTCTGAGGCTGCAGCTGGGGTTTGTTTGCAAGAGAGCAGAGTGTTTCACACAGGTGTCGGACACGGTGGTGGCGCAGGCCATCTTCGTGGCCCGGGGCCTGCCGAGCAGCGGCTGCCTGTGGCACACCCAGCAGCCCGGGGGCCCGGGGAGCTCTTTGGATCGCCCTAAGCCGTGACGGTGCTGGCGCAGTCTGTGCCTCACCACGCTCAGAAAGAGATTTCCGCAGCCCAAGACTGATGCAGCTGGCTGCCATAGCATCAGTGTGCACCGTGAGACATATGTGGTCTGGCCTCTGTCTCTCGGCCCAGGAGTCATAACGCAAAGGCTTGGAAAGTGTGTCGTAGTGCAGTTAGCACAGTGTTTTCCCCAAAACCTTGACTCTTGGCCTTAGTGCCTGGTGGCGGCAGGGCCTGGGAGGCCTTCTGTGTGGGGAGGCGACAGGCAAATGCGCGTTCACGTTAGAGAAACGCACAGCCCCATTCTCCCCACCTTGTCTCCGCCACAGCCTGTCTTCAGTTTTCCTGGTACAGCACAGGAAGGAAGACCAGCAGAGCGTGTCTGTCCCACTCCTGGAAAGGGTTTGCGACAGCTTACACTGCTGTTTCCGCTAAGAACTCATCTCGAACCAGAGCACCCCAGAAAGTGCAGAGGCGGGGGCCGGCGCTGTGGCGGAGCGGCCGCGACGCCAGCATCCCGAATGAGCACTGCTTCGTCTCCCGGCTCCTCCACCTCAGATCCGGCTCCCTGCAGGTGCACCTGGGAAGGCAGCAGATGACAGCCCAAGTGCTTGGATTTCTGCTACCCCTGGGGGAGGCCCTGATGGCGTTCCAGACTCCTGGCTTGGCCTGGTCCAGCCCTGGCCTTTGTGCATTTTGGAGTGGGAGATATCTGTCTCTCCCTCATTCTCTCTTTCACTCTGCCCTTCAAATCAATCAATAAATCTTAAAAAGAAGGCAAACATAGAAGTAGAGAGGGAAATAGATATACCTCCCCAAAAGAAAAAAACAAACACTTCCCAGAAGTAGGTATATTAGCTGTGCCCTAGGCTCCTTGACATCCCAAGTGAACACTGGAAGCTGGGATTTTAAACAGATTTCGTTGACTGCCAGTTAGGAAGCTCAGCAGTTCACCGGGGAGGTGAAATGGATTAAAGGGGGCCATGGGGGTGGGCACAACCTGTACGTGCACAGGCAGAGCGTGGGGGAGACCCCCAGCCTGCTCAGGACTCGAGCCCCTTCCTCCCCAGGAGAGCCAGGGTCCCGTTATGGCCCACGCGGCCTTGGGTGTCAGCAACACGCATCCCATGTTCCCTGCGGAGATTCATCCGTGCCCAGTGTCACAGAGCGCTCGGCCCCGTGCTTCGTCCCCGCAGCAGCCCCTGGCCCAGGCTGCCTGCCTGCTCCTGCAGTGGCACGTGCTGCGTCCTCGCACGTGTGGCTGCCAGTCCTCAGAGAAGCTGCGTCTCACTGCTCCATTTTCAGCCCTTCCCTGGAAGTGGGAGCCTGTTTTCTTAACCTTACTGCTTCCCTTCTTTGAGTCCTTGGCCATGAAACGAGGCCAGCCTGGCCGTCAGCAGTGGCAGTGACAGATGCCTTTTCCACAGCAAACCCTGGTCCTCCGCGGCACTGGGTGAGATCCTCAGCTCACAGTGCACGACTGCCACAAGCAGCCCGCGCAGGGAGGCCCTCTGCGTCCTCCGGGCCTCCTCCTCAGACGACACGGGCCCCAGTGACGCCCGTCACCGTGCTGAACTTACCTGACAGCTTGCTTCTGGGGGTCCCGTGTCGGAAGAGCCTGTGGAAGGATTCTTAATGTGCCAGCGGCACAGCTGGGATGGTTTTGATTTTAGGCCTTGACAATCGTCCTGGTTAAGGCATTTTGATCTGAGAGTCTATTAGCAGAAGGCCAAATTGCTGTGTGTGAGATTCTTAAAACGGAGGATGGCATTTGTAACTATTTTTAAATAGCCTATTATGTTTTCAACTCCCCAAGGACAGCTTTTTTCCATAAATGATACAAAGCCAAAACCACACAGAGCAACAGAGACGGGCATGAAATATGAAAATGACTTTTTCCTCATGGGCACACGGAAAATCCACTTGTCTTAGACATGTCAGTGATCACCCAAAATACCCCGGCCAGCTGAATACTAGGGTGTTTGGTGAATGTAATATTAAATGCCTAGATTACACCCTTCCCACGTGTATTCTGTTGTTGGATCTTTGTTAGGTAGATACGTAGGTGTCTCTTAAATACATCTCACCTGGGTCCAGTGTTGTAGCATAGTGGTAAGGGCACCACCTGCAATGCTGGCATCTCATATGGGTGCTGGTTCAAGTCCCAGCTGCTCCACTTCTGATCCAGCTCTCTGCTAATGGCCTGGGAAAAGCAACAGAAGATGGCACAAATGTTTGGGCCCCGGCACCCATGTTGGAGACCAGTATGAAACTCTTGGCTCCTGGCTTCAGCCTGGCCCAGCCCTAGCTGTTGCTGCCATCTAGGGAGTGAACGAGCTGATGAAAGATCTCTCTAGAGCACTTTCTCTCTAATTCTTTCGAATCAGTATATATATATATTTTTTTTTTTTTGAGAAAAAATTATTTATTTGAAAGGCAGAGTTACAGGGAGGCAGACTGACAGAGAGAGAGAGAGAGATCTTCCATCTGCTGGTTTACTCCGCATGTGGCCGCAATGGCCAGAGCAGAACTGATCTGAAGCCAGAAGACTTCCGAGTCTCCAAGCTGGTGCAGGGGCCCAAGGACTCGGGCCATCTTCCACTGCTTTCCCAGGCCACAGCAGAGAGCTGGATCGGAAGAGGAGCAGCTGGAACTCAAGCCGGTGCCCATATGGGATGCTGGCACTGCAGGAGGTGGCTTTATCAAAAATAAATGTATCTTTAAGAAAATAACTATTATTTCAAGAACAATGTGATTATAATTTTATCCACACTTTGATGCTTTTAAATAAGCTTTTGGGTTTGCCCTCCTAATAGAAGTAGTCACATGTTAGAAATGAGAAAATTCAGTTTAGTGCTTTTTGAACCCAGGAGTCACTGGATATTTCTTTTTCCATTCTTTCAGTCTGTATCTTGATAGTAAAAGACTTTCTCGTAGGCTGCATGTGGTTGGGTGTTAAAGATGTATTTATTTATTTGAAAGTCAGAGTTACACAGAGACCGAGGCAGAGAGAGAGGTCTTCCATCCATTGGTTCACTCCCCAATTGGCCACAACGGCTGGAGCTGCGCCTGTTGGAAGACAGGAGCCAAGATCTTCTTCCAGGTCTCCCATGTGGGTGCAGGGGCCCAAGGACTTGAGCCATCTTCTACTGCTTTCCCAGGCCACAGCAGAGAGCTGAATTGGAAGTGGAGCAGCTGGGGCCCATATGGGATGCCGGCGCTTCATGCCAGGGCGTTAACCCACTGCGCCACAGCATCAGCTCCCAGGTCCTTTTTTCTTTGTTGACTTTAGCTTGTGTGGGTGTGTGCGTGTTTAGTGGTTGCCTTGGGGTTTATGGTTTATTGCAGCATCTTTAGTGTGATAATAGCCATAACCATCCTGGTAGGGTGTAAGAACCTCGCAGCGGTATAGATCGTTCGTCCCCTCCTGGTTTTTGTGATTGCTTCAGTGTGCTATAAGCCCCACAACATGCGGCTGTTTTTCCTTCAGATTGTTCTTTTTAAAGGAGACGTATTTGTGATATAGTTTTCTTTTTTTTTTCTTCATTACTTTGTGTGCATCAGGAATTCTGTCTGGTATCATTTTCTTTCTGCCTGCAATACTTCCTTCAAGAATTCTGTAGTTCAAGGCTATTGGCTGTCAAGTCTTTTAGCTTTTTTATGGCTGAAAAAGGCTTAACTATGGGAAGATTTTCATGGAGTGTAACTAGATTGGCAGAGTTGCTTGTTTTTTCTTATAATGCTTTACGATGCTGCTCCGCTGATACCCGGCCTGCATCGTCTCTAACAGGGACGCTGCCGCCCTCGGCTTTGTTCTGTGTGCTCTCTGGCTGCTTTGTGTGTGCTGATGTGCATTGGTAGCATCTCTGTTTTTGTGCGTGGGGTTCTTTGAGCGTCTTGGTTCTGCAGTTTCATAGTTTCTGTGAAATTTGGAAAAGTTTTAGCCATTATTCAGATTTTTTTTCAGGGACTTCACTTTTTTGAGGAGGCTACTTTTTTTTTTTTTTTTTTTTTTTAAGATTTATTTGTTTGAAAGTCAGAGCTACACAGAGAGAGGAGAGGCAGAGAGAGACAGAGGTCTTCCATTTGCACAAGTGTGCATCCCGGTGGGGGGCCCGCACCTGCACCTGGCACTGGTAAGATGCAAAATGAAACCCCACCGTGTGTGTCTCATGCTCTATTTTATTTCCTGTAGAATTTGTGGTGGATTGTCGTAAATTTTTGGATTCAAACGCCCTGGGCCTAACGGTCATGGCCCTCAGCAGCTACGACCCCCAGATGCGAGCCGCGGCCTACTACGTCCTGGCGGCCTACTACTCACACCTGGAGGGGGCCCGGTTCCGAGAGCAGCCCCAGGTAAGGGGGCCGTGGGGACAGCGTGGCAGAGGGCTGGCGGTGGCCGGGGCCGGCGGAAGGACTTGCGGAGGAGCCCCTGCTGAGGGAGGGGAGCCTGTCCAAACCTGTAGGACGAGATGCACGTGTTCCCAGCGCGTGTGGTGCCCTGGGGACGCTGGGAGCGGTTTCCTGTACGAGCCCGTACGGGTGCACTGACTGCTTTGGCGTTCAGTGTTTCTGTAGTCTACACCCGGGTGAAGAGGCCGTTACCACGCAGCGCTGAGCTCAGAAACGTGCCGCTGGGGTAGAGGAGCAAGGGCAGATTCGGTTGGCAGCAGGGGAGGGCTCCCCACTGTGAGCTCTGGAGGGTCCTGAGGTGGGAGGAGCAGGTGCGTCCTGCAGTGCTGTGGTTCAGCCGCCCAGGGCAGGACCATCCCTGCTCTGACAGTGGTCGTCTCGCCAGTGGTCGTCTCGCCCCGCGCAAGGTTCTTTACCTGATGGATGTGGTCCGGAACGGGATTCGAACTCAGAACATGAGACTCACCTTCACCCTGGCTCTCTTCATTGCCAAAGCAGCCCTGCAGATTTTGAAACCAGGTACCATGGGTTAAGTAGCTTGAGGAGAAGTTGGAAAGCTGAGCTAAACAAGTCCATGTCTAGGCATAAGCAGTCACACTCGTGTGATAAAGGACACGTCGAAGGCCATTCAGTGCTTGTGGGAGGGAAAGCTTGGGTGCCACTGAAATACCCCAAATAGTGGGCAGTACCTGGTGCTGTGAGCAGGCGGATACCTAAAGACTTTAAAAAAGAAACAAGGTGCAGACACCGTGTGTGACGGGGAGAGGGTATCTGTCATCACTGCTTGTGGTTGCATGAAACTGCTGAGAGCAAATAAGCAGAAGTAAGAAGCCAGGTTGATCCCTTAGTGGATGTAGCCACGCTGAGGGCCCGTGTCCCAGGGCTGAGGTGAGGGCCCGTGTCCCAGGGCTGAGGTGAGGACCCGTGTCCCAGGGCTGAGGTGAGCGCCTGTGTCCCAGGTGAGGTGAGGGCCCGTGTCCCAGGGCTGAGGTGAGGGCCTGTGTCCCAGGTGAGGTGAGGGCCCATGTCCCAGGTGAGGTGAGGGCCCATGTCCCAGGGCTGAGGTGAGGGCCCGAGTCCCAGGGGCTAAAGTGAGGGCCTGTGTCCCAGGTGAGGTGAGGGCCTGTGTCCCAGGTGAGGTGAGGGCCGGTGTCCCAGGTGAGGTGAGCGTCTGTGTCCCAGGGCTGAGGTGGGGGCCTGTGTCCCAGGTGAGGTGAGCGCCTGTGTCCTAGGGCTGAGGTGAGGGCCCGTGTCCCAGGGTTGAGGTGAGGGCCCGTGTCTCAGGGGCTAAGTGAGGGCTTGAGCCAGGCTGCTCTGACTTCCCCTTGCCTTGGTTTCTTCCCTGTAAAGTGGGGTGATAGTGGCACCTACTCACTCTGCTCCCACAGTCTGCTCCCTGTCATTTTTAAAACTTGGTTCCCCTCCCCCTCCCTCAGGAAGGAAATGAAGACCTTTATTTGTAGACCCAGTAGAATGTAGGGCAGGGACCGTGGGGTTTGTGGGCCTCGCCTCGTCCCGTTTGTGCCAGCTGGGCTCTGTCCCGCACCAGCCCTGCTATGGGGGTGGGGGGTTGTGCAGGGTAGCCGTGGCCCCAGGCTGCAGCAGGTCTGCACAGAGTGAGGTGGGTGACGCGAGGGTGGGGCGCAGCAGGAGTGCTGAGCCCAGGGACTGCGCCTCCCTGTCTCTGAGCTCCCCCGGCCCGTGCGTGTGACCAGGCCCTGCTGTTTCCGTGGCAGTGGGATGATAATGGGGACATCCAGCCGTGGCCTCTGAGCTGTGGGGGAAGCCGTGTGCCACAGACCGCTAAGGCGGCCTCTAGTTTTCGAGAGCCAGGGATCGGGAGGCAGGGCAGAAGCTCCCGGAGGGGGTTGTGTCGGATAGCCCAGAGCACACCCTGGGCTCAGCCGGCCCGGGTGCTGTGGTGCCCACGTACCCCACCGTCTGCCTCTTCCCAGAGGAGCACATGTACTTGAAGATCAGCAAGTTCCTGCTGTCGCACGAGTACCTGAACATGGACAAAGTGCCAGGCTTCTACCAGTTCTTCTACAGCTCTGACTTCCAGGTAACGCTGCAAGCCCCTGAGCCGGGTCCCTCGGGCACTGTGGTCGCGCGGGCACTGTCCCGTTCACCCTGTGCACTCGTGGCCGCCAGGACTGCGAGAGCCACGTCAGAGCGGGGAGTCGGGAAGGGGACGCCTCCCGTCCCAGGCACAAGTTTCATGCAGCTTCTCGGCTGCGCCACGGTCCTCACACCCTGAACGCAGCGGGGTTTGAAGCCGGGCCGGCGGGGGCTTTGCCTTTCCCAGCAGTAGCTCCCTGTTTTCCTGGCCGGCAGCACAAGCAGGAGCAGGAGTGGGTGCTGGGGGTCCTGCGCGAGGGCATCCGTGACAAGCACTGCTACGAGCTGTACGCCCGGCGGGGGGTCTTCCGCATCCTGCTGGCCTTCTTCTGCAGCCCGCTGTGCGACCACGCGGCGCAGGTGAGCCGAGCCGAGGCCGGAAGGCCCGTGCCCTTCCTCAGGCTCCCGGTGGGAAGTCGGGTCCGCGTGGACACTGATCCGGACAAAGACGGGGTTCCGTGAACGCCCCTCCCGGGGGCTGCGCCGCACAGGCCGATCCATGCGTGGAGGCTGGGTGGTGGCGCCCTGCCCTTGGCTGACAGGAGGCCTCTTTGCTTTGCCATCCAGAGGGAGGGCCGGTCAGGAATCAGGGGCCCCTGGAGCTGGCCCCGGAGTCCAGGGCACAGCAGCCTCCTCAAGTGATGGGGGCACTTGTTGGGGGTGCGCTCGGGCCCCAGGAGGCTACCGCGGGCCCAGAAGCTGCGAGTCGTCAGGGCCCGGCCAGGAAGCTACCGGCCTCGCCTGCCGGTCAGGGAATCTGTGCGTGCAGCTCTGTCCCCCAACACCGAGTGCTGGAGGGGAGGGGCGTTTTCTAAAGACCTCAGGTCACTGGAAGAAGTGAACAGGAAAAGCCATTGGCATTTGAGTTCCTGGCCTGACCAGCCTCGGTTGCCACCATTACATAAGATACAGGCAAACTGGAGTGAGGATTAAGAAGCGGTTGAAATAAGCTCAGTTTGCGTGAGAGCCTGTTCTTCTGGCATGGGAACAGCCGAGGGGCAGCTCCGGGCGTGCGGCTCCCTTGCCAGGAGTGGAACAGGGCAGGAGTGGTTCGCCGCTGGGCTGGAGCGGGGCTGGGGCCGGCTCTTTATGTTGGGTCAGCACCCAGGCACCGCTGTGGACACCGCGTCCCCGGGCTGCCACTCGCGGGGAAGGGCGTCTTCCTGCCTGGCCGCCACCTGTAATCGTGGCACAGCCCTGGGTTGGAGACCTGTCCCTTTGGCCACGTGAGCGACACCTTCCCGCTGCGGAGTGACTTTGGTTTGGGGTTTTCAGAACTGGATTCTAGAAATCCTGCAGAGTGCTGCGCAGGTCGCCAGGTCTGCCTATGAGGTCATCCGGGACTACAGCCTCCTGACCTGGATTTTACACATCCTCGAGAACAAGTAAGGCCCTCCTCCCGAGACGCATGGCACAGCTGCCACCAGCTTCAGCCCTGAACCACCCCGCCCTCCCCGTGCCTGGCCGTCCTGCCCCTGGGAGCGCCCAGTGCTTGTCCTGCCCTCAGATCCCGCTTCCCGTGCCCCCTGTCTGCCGCGGAGTGACAGCCACCACCTGCTGTCGACGTTGGCAGAGGCGTCCCAGCCTCCCTGGCTCCGTTAGCACGGGTTCAGATTCCTCCCCCGTGGGGCCGGCAGGCCGCAGCCCCTCCCGAGTAGAACCGTGGGAAGCTCCGTGGAGTCCGTGTGTGACAGTGGGTGACCGTGCTGGAGATGGGCCTCACTGAGTGCTGTCACCTCCAAGTCCAGTGGGGGACGTCTGGGAGGCTAAGGGCCAGGCGTGGGGGGCAGAGGGGTCTGGCTCTCAAAGCTCTGGCTGCTCTCAGTCCTGGGCTATCTGGGTCCTTGTGTGCATTTTTAAAAAGCATCTTAGAAAGTCATAGCCAAAGCCTGGAGTGTGTCTTTGGACGTTGGTCTTAAGACCATCGGCTGAAACGCGTAACCGGCTCATTACTGTTTGCCTGAGAGCGGTGTGTCAGGAGTCGCACGTTGTCCTGGGCGGACGGCTTTTATTGGGGTGTGCAGCGGCACCCGGGTTTCTGTAGGGACCCAGGCAGCCATCTGGTTAGAGAGCTGGGGCCTCAGCTCTGCCGAAGCCGCCGGGGTGCAGCAGGCGCCCTGTTTCTGCTCAGAGGCCTTGCTGCCTGGGGCGGTGTGCACTGGACCTCCGCTTGGTCCCGCCCCGCCGCCATGTTGGGTCCCACACTGCCCCTGGACTGGTCCCCTTGGTGGGCAGGGCCCTGGTGGAGCTGGAGCGCATCTGTGTCCGGTTGCAGGTTCCTGGAGACCCCGCTGCTGTCCAGCGTGATCTCCTTGCTGCACACGCTGTGGGTGACCAACCTGGGAGACAAGGGAGCGGAGGGCGACAAGCAGCCTGCTGGCCAGCCTGGGCCCCACGAGCCCCCCAAGATGCTCGCCCTGCACCTGGTCAGCGAGTTCCTTTACGTCCTCATCGCACTCCTGAAGCACTTGAGGTGAGCCTTCCCTGCCAGGGGACCCCTCGGCCTGCCCGTCCGGGGCCGTGTCACCTGTGGACACCATGTCTCGGTCACGACGCCACAGGTGGACGCTGGGCTGTGGCCTGGCGTGGGCCAGGACAACACGGGGGCCTCGTGGCGTGGCGTCAGGGCGTCTCCTAGAGTTCTGCTGCTTCAGCTTTGTACGGCTCCTGGTCGAGGCCCTGAGAACCTCACACCTTTCCAAACCTGGAGCGCATCGTACCGGGTTGTTTTGGGCGGACAGACATCACCTCTGCGTTTTACTCAGCCACTTGCATCGGGGGTGTTTCACAGGAGAATATTTTCTGTGACCTTGACCCAAGACAGGGAGTTCCAGTCCTGCCTCTTGGCTTCGTTCGCCGTGAGCACGCTCTCACCCATGAATTTTCTCGGCTATTTGAGTGTTTTCGTCCAGGCCCTCAGAATCCTGTTCTGGGTTTTCACAGGAGACCTGAGTTCTCTGTGTTGTAGGAAAGACACTGTGCACACTCACGGTTCTGGTCTTGGTGTGCCGGTCGGGGCAGGAGGTGGCTGGCAAACACGTCATACCACAGTGAGAACTCTCGATAAAGAACGCGCCATGTTGTTGGGCACTGTTCCACACGGAGGGAAGGCCGTGCTTCCAGGAGGCGTATTGGCGCGTGAGAACTGACTGCTACTGGAAATAATGGTTTCGCTTGAAACCCGATATTCAGAGAGACCCCCTTCCTCCCGGTGACAGTGGCTTGAGGGTGGGCTATGGGCTGATGCCAGCCCACGGAGTTTGGAGAGTGCATGCAGTCCTGTGCCCACTCGTGGTGCCCAGATCTCGAGCCTTGCCCTGCCTGGCCGCCCCTTGTAGCCGGGGTTCCTGCAGGGTGAGGGTCGGGCTCTGCCTCCCTGCCCTGGCTCGCTCTTTCCTGGTCTGCACCCCGGGCACCCTGCCGGCTGCCTGGGTCCTGCGTCACCATCGGCAGCCCTGGGCGTGTGAAGCCGACAGGCCCCTGGTCCTGGGCTGCCGGCCAGGGGGGCAGCCCCACCTCAGTCTGCCTTGTCGGCCCCAAACAGGCCCACCCTGGCCCCCGCCCAGCTGACCAGCTTCTTCGGGACCCTCGACTCGGTGCTGAGGTACCAGGCCACCGTGCTGCAGGCCTTCAGGGACATGGACCGCTTCACCGTGAACGAGACCGTGCTCTCTGCCAGGGACGTCCTCGTCCTCCTGCACAAGTGGAGCCTCATCGACGAGGACGCCAGGCTCCAGGAAGACCTGAGGGCGGTCGTCGAGCGGTGCCAAGTCCGGGAGCTCGTGAGTGAGTGTCGGCGCCCCCGGCCGGCCCACACAGCCACCCAGCCGCCTGCCTGCCCGCCTAGGAGGGGCCTGGCGGCGGGCCACGTTCCTCTGGGGAGGCAGCTGGGGAGCCGGGCTTTGAGTCCCAGCTCTGCCGTGTAGGAGCTTTTCGCTTTTTGGAAAGTCGCTTAGACCACTCACGTTAAAGGGGCCAGGGGCTCCTTGTCCCCACCTTGTCAGGCAGCACAGGGTCCAAAGGACAGAGTGGAGGCTGCCTGGCCTCGCTGTGACAGCGCCACCTGGCGGCTCCCTCGGATGTACGCGAGGGCGAGGGCCCTGCCTCCCGAGGTTACTGAGGATTGAGTTCATCCTGACAACGGGGGCAGTGGCGGTGAAGGGGAGCAGGTCCCGTGGAAGCTGTGGCCGTGCCCCTCCCTCCCGTTCTCCCCCCGCCCACCAAAAAAAATATCCACCCCCGCCGGGTTCTCTGGGGACGGAGGGACGCCGGTCTCACTGTCTGTGTTCTGTGCGTTTAACAGAAATGCTCAAGGAAAAGAGCAAGCCCGCTGGGCCAGCCCGAGCCAAAGGCCCGCGCGGCCGGAAGAGGAGGCTGGGGGAGGCGGAGGAGACGGCCGACCCTGAGCTGAAGGCGTCCAGCTTGGAGACGTGCCGCGGCCACCTGCGCTCCATACTGACCCACTGGGGGCCGGTGGTCCCCGCCGCCCCTGCCCAGGAGCCCCCCGAGAGCGAAGCCCCGCCCGCCGCGTACGCCACGGCCGCCCTGGTGCTCAGCTGGGTGCTGCGCTCGCTGGCCGGGCGCCCGCTCAGCAGGCCGGAGGCCGCGGGACTCCTGGGCTGGCTCCGGAGCCACGTTCTGCCACACCCGGCGGTGGTGGCCAGCCTGCTCGGGGACAGCGCCGTGAAGAGCGGCCTGTTTGTGCTGTACAGCCAGCTCTGTGGGGCCGAGGGCCTGGCCGGGCCCGCGCAGGACGTGGCCTGCCTCTTCAACGCCGTCATGCTGCAGCTGCTGGCAGCCGGGACCACCACAGCCAGCCCTTGGCATGCGGAAGTCGAGGCGCTGTGCGCTTCCTGTCTGCCCGGGAAGGACGAGGCCTCTCGAGGTAAGGCGCGCTCCGGGGCGGGAAGCTGAGAGGCTTGAGGGGGGGAGCGGGCGGTGACTCCCGTGCCCTGGAGCCTCCGGCGCGGCCTTGGTGACAGCTCGGGTGTCCCCTCTCAGCCCTTCCCCATTGCCGAGCCAGACCCCCCCTCCCCCAAGACGGGATCTGGAGACCCAAGGCCGAGGGCCACGTGTCAGGAGGAGGAGCACACACGCATGTCTGCTGGCCTCTCCCTCGCCTGCCCCTGATCACTGCCCGAGGCCTCACCTCCGCACACCGCCGCCGGGTTCAGTCCCCTGCCTCCGGCGCCTCCCAGCACACACCCCCTTGCGGACACTCAGGCCGCAGCAGCCGCTTCCCTCAGGCGGGGAGGTGTTGAGCCCTCCTCACCTGGGATGAACGAGGGGTCTTTGCCTTAGTGGGGGCCCCTTCCTGTGAACTCCGTGTCCCACCAGGGACTCTGCCACCCTGCAGAGCGGGGGTTTTTGATGAAGATTCCTGTTCCTCTCGGCCAGGGTGTGTGTGCTCACATACACGTATGTACACACACGAACAGACACGCGTGCATGTATCAGCATGTAGGATACACTTACACATGCATCTGCTCACAAGCACACACATATGCATGTACGCACACGTTTCTGCAAGTAGGCACCTACATGTATCTGCATGAGCACACATCTACACACGTGTATCTGCACGAGCACACACATGCACGCACGGTTTACATGCTGGGCATTTAGCAGATGCCTAAAGGTAATGAACAACATAGATGACGCCAAGAGTTAGGCAGAGGCCGGGCTCCTGTCCCGTCCCCAGGCTCCTGTGGGCTGCCTGCTAGGTGACGCGAGAGTTAGGCAGAGGCCGGGCTCCTGTCCCGTCCCCAGGCTCCTGTGGGCTGCCTGCTAGGTGACGCGAGAGTTAGGCAGAGGCTGGGCTCCTGTCCCGTCCCCAGGCTCCCGTGGGCTGCCTGCTAGGTGACGCGAGAGTTAGGCAGAGGCCGGGCTCCTGTCCTGTCCCCAGGCTCCCGTGGGCCGCCCACATGTGCGGCGGTTTGTGCGGGCACTCGGCTGAGCCCCAGCACTGTGGATGGGTGGCCTGTCCTGACCTCCTGGTTGTCCCCTCTTCCACAGCCTCTGCGGCCTTCCTGGTGTCCCTGTACGTCAAGGACCTGTGGCTGGGGGCCCCGCAGCCCGACACCCTCCGCGCCCACGTCCGCATGGTCTGTGAAGCCGCAGAGCGCACCCCGGGCGCCGGCGAGGAGGCCATCGTGGCGCTCTGCACGGGCCTCGCCGCCTCTCGGCCCGGGCGCCAGGGTCTGCGGGACTGACAGGGAAGCCACGGCCACGGCGGCGGCAGGTGCAGCGCGGGGACTGAGTTCCTGGACAAGGCCAGGTGAGAGGGCTTCACCCGCCACAGCCCAGGGCCCCGTCCTGCAGGTGACACGCGCTGAGGGGACGCGGGCCGTGCAGGTGGCATCACGGGCGTGAAGCTGCATTGGCAGACACGTCGGGTGGGTTAGGACGCACGGAGAGACTCGGCTTTCCTTCCCTGAGAAGCCAGAGCAGGTTCCGCGGGAGCTGCAGGGAAGCGAGGTCCTGCCGTCCCTGCAGGGAAGGGTGACACCGAAGCCCTCCGGGCGCCGTGGCCCTGCGGGGGAGACGCCGCGGCTCAGAGGAGGTCTGCGTTTTCTCTGCTTTGGCTAATAAATGTCTATTTTTGTAAGGCGCTGTGTGTGCCCTCAGAGGTGGTGGCGGGCACGCGCTGCCCTGCGGAGACCAGGGGTCGGGACGTTAGTGTGGAGCTGACGGATCTCACCAGCAGTCTGGTGTTTCCCGGATGGAGCTCTCGCCTCTCACGAGAGGCCTCCCGCACACCCGGTCACCAGGGCGAGGCTGTCCTATTCGCCCACTCGGTGCACGGAGCGGCAGGGTCCCGTCTGCCCTCCCCCACGAGTCGGGTCGCCGTGGGAAGCCAGGGCCGTCGCCCTCCCCGGCCTGGTCCACTGCGGTCCCCTGGCGGCGCTCTCTGAGGATGCCCGGGTTGGAACCTCGCTGCTCCGCTCAGCTGGACTCACGGTGCGCGGTCCAGCCAAGGCCACGTCCCCTTCCGCTTCTCTGCGGTTCCCTCCTCTGCACGTTTATTGAGGTTCCTTTGCTTACTAGCACCCCGACTTCCCTACGCAAAGGGGTGCTGGCTGGGAAGGCATGGCCAGGGGTGCTCTGGCAGCCCAGGCCCCTGGAGTTGGGAAGGGGCCGCGCGTGGGGTGGGCCTCCGTGGCTCTGTCAGCCGTCTCCTAGGGCCTGAGCTCCCAGGCACTGGGCAAGATTGGAGTCCCTGCCTGACTGGCGACGCCCAGCCGACCTGGTGATACCCAGCCCTCCCTGTTGTGAGCCCTGGGGGCGGGGGACACCCTGCCCTCCCTGTTGTGAGCCCTGGGGGAGGGGAGGCTGCCAGGCCTTCCGAAGCCTACCCTTCCCTGAGTGTCCCTGTGCCAGCTAGCAGCTCGGCCCCTGCCTTCTCCCCTAGCAGTACGCTGCCCGCCTGGAGCGTCATAGGGGGCGGGAGCAAGTGCAGCAGGTGCCACGCTGGGTGGCGACAGGTACTGAGTGGCAGCTCCATGAAGTGCAGACAGGTTTCGAGCAGCTCGCCCCGGGTCTGCACCTCGAGCCCACCTGTCTCCCCTTCCCTCGTCTCCCTTCAAACCCACCGCCCTGGTGTGCGGCTCACTTCCCGTCAGCCAGGCGAGGAAGAACAGTGTCTACACAGACCCGGGGAGTCAGGTGAAAGCGGGCTTGAGGCAAGCAGCCTGCAGACTCCTTTATTTCAGTTGGTACAACATCTTGTATAGCCAAGACCAGCCAGTCTGGTCAAGGGGCGGTCTATGCCCCGACCAATCACAGCCTGTTGCCAGGCAGGTGATTGTCAACCTGTCCTGGGAAATTTACAACCCACGGCCTCCGTGTTCGCGGGTCTGCGCCCACACAGCCAGACCGACCTTGGTTCAGAAACAGACTGTTTCATTGTCCCTAGGCGATGGCCGTAACCACTGCTCACACAGCGTTTGCGTCAGGTTAAATCTTCAAGTCTTCTAGACTTGACTGAAAGTCCTCGGGAGGCTGTGTGTGGGTTCCATGCAGACACCACGGCGTTTCGTACAAGGGCCGTGAGCGTCCCTGGGTTCTGGTAACCGAGGGGGCCGTGGAACCCACCCCCGCGGCTACCAAGGGACAAGTGTATCTAAGGTGCCCCGGTCCGATCCGGGAACAGTTACTTTAGGAACAAAGCCCACCAGCTGCCCCCTGCAAGCCGGGGTGCTGTGGTGTCCCGGGCCTCGTGTATGCCGCTCGCTGCCTTCCTCACTGTCGTGGGTGGAGAGCTGAGTCCTTGGGAACCTGAGATCCGAGGCCACGTGATGCTGACCCAGACGGGGGCCTTTCCTGCCAGCTTCCCGGTGTTTGGTGCCAGCTTTGGAGGCTGATTCTCCCTCTGGGGCATGGACTCTGTCCTGAAAGGCTGTGAGGTTGGGACCAGCGCTGTGGTGCAGCGGGTTAAAGCCCTGGCCTGCAGTGCCGGCATCCCATGTGGGCTAGTCCTGGCTGCTCCGCTTCTATCCAGCTCTCTGCTGTGGCCTGGGAAGGCAGTGGAGGATGGCCCCAGTCCTTGGGCCCCTGCACCCACGTGGGAGACCTGGAAGAAGCTCCTGGCTCCTGGCTTCAGATCAGCTCAGCTCTGGCCATTGCAACCATTTGGGGAAATGAACCAGTGGATGGAAGACCTCTCTCTCCTTCCCTCTCTCTCTCGTTCTGTTTCCCTCTAACTCTTTCAAATAAATTAACAATAAATCTTTAAAAAAAAAAAAAAAAAGTCTGTGAGGACGATGCTGGGTGTGACTCAGGTCCCTGGCTGCAGCTGGGCTGGCGGTGTGGATACTACTCCATCTTGGGCTGTGGGCTCTGCAGGCCTCCCACGTGTCCTAACCACACAGGCACAGTTGGGCCAGGCGAGCCCAGGGGCATGGGATGTTCAGAAGAGGGTCAGCATTGTGGTTAATCACCACCTGCAACACTGGCATCCCATTGCACAGTGCCAGTTTGAGTCCTGGCTGCTCTGCTTCCGAACCAGCTCCCTGCTGACGCGGCTGGGGAGGCAGCAGAGGACGGCCCAGGTGCTTGGTCCCCTGCCACCCACATGGGAGATCCAGATGGACTCCTTGGCTCCTGGTCTCAGCCTGGCCCTGGCCAGCCCTGCCTGTTGTGGCCATCTGGGGAGTGAACCAGCAGATGGAAGATCTGTCTGTCTCTCACTCTGCGTTTCAAATAAATAAAATAAATCCAAAAATAATGTTCCAGGAGGAACGATGAAGTGGCGTAATCAGAACTGCAAACACAAGGGTTTCTCATCTCCATGTGTATACATTTTATTTCCCTTCCCTTTCCTTTAAGTACACTGAACCCGGTCAGTAACCAAGCAGAGTACACACACACTAAGACCAGTCACATCCGGGGCATCTGCCCTACGCTGGAGGGGCCGCGTGCAAGCCTCAGCCAGCTGCTGTGCTGCGCTGCCTTGGCGAGCCCTGGGCCCACCTGCGCTCTGCTGCCTGTGAGTGGGCTGTAGAGACCCTGGTGTGGCCAGGCGGCTTGGAGGTCCCCAGCTCCCTGGGCCTAGGTGCCGTTCACTGGCCTCGGTTCTACAGTGGCGAGGCTATGTCTCCTGGGCGTGCTCGCTGCACCTGCTCCTGATGTCAGCTGATGCTGTGGGGTCCCCCGTGGGCGAGCGCGGGGTGGGCTGTGGCAGCCATAGGGGGCAAAGCTGGGGAGCCGTCACACTGCAGCCTCTGCTTGGCGCCAGCTCTGCCTCCTGGTTCCTTGACCCTGTTCTGGTGGGCCCGCCGGAGGCAGGAGGGGAGGGTGAGGCTGTGGCTCCACCGGCACGGGTGGCGGGGCTGAGGGCTGTTCCTGCAGACAGAGCAGAAGGGGAGGCGGCATCAGAGGAGACGGCTGGGCGCTCCCCTGTCTCCTGCCTGCACGGCCCAGGGAGTGGCGAGCCCCAGGGGAGGCCAGGCCAGAGCACAGAGCGCAGAGGAAGCAGAAGGCAGGGAGCCGGGCCTCCGCCTCACCCTCAAGGTCACTTCCTCCTCTGTCCGCTTGCAGTGGGGGCTGGGCAGCTTGGCCTTGTATCCAGCCATGTATCAACGGCGGTGTCATCCCCACACCCCAAGCCAACTCAGGCTTGGGGAGGGTGAACCAGCAGATGGAGAATCTATCTGTCTCTATCACTGCCGTTCAAATAGATAACACTAAGTCTGGAAAAAGCAAAACAAACAACTCTAGCTCACAAGGGCTGTAGTGTCCACTGAACTTGGGCTTGGCAGGGACAGCCCCTGTGAGCCTGCTGGGGCCAAGAACGTTCCCCCGAGTGGGGCCGGCTGACAGCCTTCACAAACCATCCCAGAGGTACCCAGAGCAGACCGGAAGGGAGTAGACCTGGTGGGCGGGTCGCCGCGGGTGGACAGGCGGGCAGCGGAGAAGACCCCCGGAGGAGCCTGTAAATGCACGAGCATCAGGGAGGGGCGCTACCCTCCGGTTCTCCCGGGGCCCCTCGTCTCCTCCCCCGGCTTGCTTGTCTGTGCTGCCCAGCCGCCTGTGCCTCGTCCTGGCTTCTGCTCCCCAAGGCTTCGGGTCTGTGATGGGCAGGCTGGTCTACCGTGGCCTCCTGCTCCGTCTCCCAGCTCCCAGGTGCAGAGCTGGCGATCTCGCTGGCCCCAGCTCATCTCCGGGTCAGCTGCCCACCCCGGTCCCATTCCCTATGGCGGAAGTCCTTTCGGACAGCAGTAGCCAATCCTCTTGCACCGGGAAGAACGCGGCCCGAGCTGGGTCTGAATCACTTCTTGTGGCTCCCACGTTTGCCTCCGGTGAAACTACAGCCATGGCAGCAGCCCCTGAGAGAGTGGCCGGATGTGCCTAGGCTAGGGGCCCGTTCTCCGGGGGAGTCAGGGGGCGTGACTTCAGCCACACGTGGGGTCAGTGTTGGCTTTGTTCTTTCTTACGGCTTCATTGAGAGAGATCTTTGCAGGGGGTGGAGCTGAATTGTACGGTTCCAAGCGTACAATTCAGTCCTCTGTAGCTGTAATCAACATTTTCACCATTACCCCCCACCCCCAAAGAGCAGCCGCTCTCCCCCTCCTCCCCAGCCCTGGGCATCCAGTAACCCACTTCCTGTTCCCATAGAAGATCCTCCCTGTCTGGATTTCACATGCAGTGAAGTTGCACTAAGTGGCAGAGACACCACTCGGAGAACTGTCCTCGGGCGAGTTCGCTGCTGTGCAAACCAGAGAACTTGCAGCAAGCCCAGAGGGGAGGGGCTCGCTCTTCTGCTCCCCGGCTGCAGACCCGTGCAGCACATGGCTGTACTGAACGCCACGGGCGATTGGGACCTCACAGTGGGAACACAGAGAAGGCGCCCTGGGGATCCCAGGTGACGTGGGAGCTCCGTGCATGCAGTCTGCCGCGGAGCGAGTGAGCTGCTGTCGTGTGCACGTGACTATAAGGGGAGCCATGCGGACTGCGCTCCACGGTCCCCAGCTCCTTCCCCTGAATCCTCCCTTTCTGGGGCGGACTGCACCCCCACCGCGGAGCTGTTCCCAGCCCCTCTTACTCACCTCCCGTGCGGGGAGCCCGACCAGGACATGAGGAGCAAAATGAGGAAGAGCAGCACCACAAAGGCGGCCAGGCTCACCCAAAAGGCGATGACGATGGAGTCTGCGGGGGGAGCAGAGGCGGTTGAGTGTGGGTTTGAGGCCAGGGCGCCCGAGTGTAGCCCTTCTCGCCCCTCCCCACCTCTCTTGCCACTAGCACTGGGAGGGGTTCCCGATGACAGTGACCTGGGGAAGGGACCCGCCAGCCACCGGGTCTGTGTGATTGACCAGTGCAGGCAGACGCATGGTGCCCCTGGGTCTGCGTTCAGGGCTGCCCCTGCTGCAGGTTGGCAGAAGGAAGGATGTGAGAAGTGCAGGGCAGTAAGACAGATGGACACACACACGCACGCCAGTTCCTGGAATGGAGGTGGTGTTGACCCTGACCCGGAGCAGCCTGGGAGACCCCAGGGGTTGGAGACCTGGAAGGAAGGTGTGCCCTGAGCCCCCAGGTTGCCCTGGAGGCAGTCGGGTGCCTGGCTCCGCAGACAACCCAGGAAGGAGCTGCACTCTCTTTTCCAGGGGACGGCTCACCTTGCGGCTGTGGCAAGAAGCAATGCACACTCTGCAGCCGGCACTCTTGGCTGTATGTGTGGCCCAAGGCAGAGGGGAAACCACAAAACCCTCTTGGCCTCTTAGGGACCCCGGGTAGACCCTGGCTGGCGAGGCCCAGCTGTTAAGGGAACTGTCATGTTCCTGGGCGGTGTCCGTGTGGGCCCAGGCATGAGGCTCCTACTTAGAGAGGCTGCAAGAATCTTTGTCCAGACCGCATGGCTGACCTGAGCCAGAGACGTCCTAGATACTTTCGTCGAAAGCCAAAGAGGCCACGAAGGGCCGTACCCCACTGAGTGTTTGTGGAGCTGGGGCCACAGGTGGGGGTGGTGGGTGGTGACTGTGCTCCAGTAAAAGGAGTCAGTTTCTATGACCCCAGACAGACGGAGGGAGAAACTGAGGCCCTGGAAGAGCCCAGCTGGGACACCGCAGTGAACCTCGAAAACAGAGCGTCAGGCAAAGGCGAGCATTTGTCAAAGGAATCACCGCGCCCACCACACCACACCACTGAAAGCGGCCAAGAGGAGGCCGGCGCTGTGGCACAGAGGGTGAAGCCGCCACCTGTAGTGCCTGCATCTCATATGGGCGCTGGTTCAAGTCCTGGCTGCTCCACTTCTGATCCAGCTCCCTGCTAGTGCGCCAGGGTAGGCAGTGAAAGATGGTCCAAGTGCTTGGGCCCCTGCACCCACGTGGGAGACCCAGAGGAAGCTCCTGGCTCCTGGTTCCGACCTGGCCCAGCCCTGGCCGTTCCAGCCATCTGGGGAGTGAGTCAGCAGATGGAAGATTCTCTCTCTCTCCCCCTCTCCCTCTCCCTCTCCCTCTTTGTCTCTCCCTCTTTCTCTCTGTAACCCTGACCTTCAAATAAATGAATAAGCATTAAAACAAACAAAAAGGCAGCAAAGAGCCCCACCCAGCCTGGCTCCCACATCATCGTCTCCTCTCCATGCCTGAGCGGAGAAACTGATGGTGGCACCCTGGGCATGACACTGTATCGGGACCCTGGGCTCCAGGAAACAGGAAGTGAGGTTCTCTGTCCTAAGCTCTAGGACCTTAGCACAGAGCCCCCGACTTTGTGGCTGCTGTGCCGGCCCGGAGTCCCCGCTTAGTCTCCGGGTGTCACAGTAGCAGAGTGCGCATGCTCCTGGGCTGCGGGGGCTGGGCTCCCACCCAGGAAGGGATTTCAGGCTCCCGGTCCCCCTTCTCCAGCCCAGAGCAGGAAATGCGAAGCCACCATTCCCGGAACACGGCGTCCTCAGAGAAGCAAGATATCAACTTGGTGGGACCCAGAAGACGCTGGGTGGCCGCTCGCCCTGCCCTGCGCCCGGAACTTTGCTCTCGTCGTGTTTTTGGGAGAGGCAGCCAAGGAAATCGCATTCCTTTTGTCTCCTTCCTGAAGCTTCGCCCAGATGCTCAGAGAGAACATTTTGTTCCAGGGGCAAAGAACCGCCACTCCCGTGTTGGAAGAGCCGCAACACCCACGGGCTTGTTTTCACAACACGGGGCGGGGGCGGGGGTGACACCAGGCTGGTCCCCTTATGGAGAATACCCCCCCCCACTTGCCTCCCCTTCTCCTTGTCCTTCCCTCCCCTCTCCCTTCCCCCACCTCCCTCTCTCCCTTCCGGCTCCCGGCTCGGCTGCACCCTGATGGATCAGGGAGGAGCAGACACCAACTAAGGTGACGGGAAAAGAACATTCTGGAAGGCATGGCTGAGGCTTCACCTCACATTGGGGGATTTCTCATCCTAATTGGGAGTCAGCAAACTAACCCAACTCTCTGCTCGCAAGAGGGCATTTCAAAAAAGTGTATGGAGGGCTGGCACTGTGGCGTAGCAGGTAATGCTGCCGCCTGCAGTGTGGGCATCCCATATGGGCACCGGTTTGAGTTCCAGCTGCTCCTCTTCCGATCCAGCTCTCTGCTATGGCCTGGGAAAGTAGTAGAAGATGGCCCAAGTGCTTGGGCCCCTGCACCTGGGACCTGGAGGAAGCTCCTGGCTGCCGGCTTCGGATCGGCACAGCTCCAGCCGTTGCAGCCAATTTGGGAGTGAACTTGCAAATGCCCTCTCTCTCTCTCTGCTTCTGCCTCTGCTTCTCTGTAATTCAGCCTTTCAAGTAAATAAATAAATCTTTTTTTAAAAAAGTTCATGGAAACTGAGATACCCATGTTTATCTTGGTGCAAAAGCTTTTTGAAATCCGTGCGCAGTTTCTGCTCTTTGTACTAAGTGCTTTCCTTACATTTTGAAAAGTGCCCTCCTGGGAGCCACCTTAGTGTTATTGAGTGAAAACTGCTGAAACACACGGTGAGCGCTCCTCCACACACACTCTCACAGGGGGGCCCAGGAGCCTAGAAGGTCAAGGTCAAGATCTGTCCCTTTTTGGGGACCGAACACACATACAGGGTCGAGAGCCCAAGTGCTGAGGTAAGCGGCTTTGAGCTCCAGTTCTGGCTCCGAGCAGTGCCATCTTGGGCAAGGTGGGATTTTACATCGGTTCGCTTGTCTGCCAAAGGGGGAGAGTGGCGCCTGTTACAGAGGGTGTTGGGAGGACGGCAGAACCCGTGTATCTAAAACCCATGGCAGTGCCTTGTTCCATGGCTGTGGAATGATTTCTGCAGAACTCCAGTCCTTATTTCTGGCTTTGTGGCCGTATGACTGCATCCTGCAGGCTCACAAACACATACGACGTGAATAGAGCGACTGTGGCGTCACAGCTGGCTGCCCATCCTGGTGCGGGCCCGCTTGTGTTCCCACAGCTATGAGCCTTTGTTTTCCGCTGGGAAGGGGCTGCCTGTGATAAAGGTCACATTTCCCAGACTCCTGTGCGGCCAGATGGGACCAGGTGACAGGGTTCTGGCCAATGAGATGTGAGTGCAGGCTTCCAGGGCAGCCGCTGGGAGACCACGGACAGAGATGGCTAGACTTCAGGACGTGGGCCCTCTCCTAGTCCGTTACTGCCTGGAACACAGCCGTGATGCCCAAGCCACAGTGGAAGAAGAGGATGCGGGATGGGGTGCAGGGTGGGAGGACTCCGTGGGCCCCACTCACTGCCCCAGCCCTGCAGACTTTTCCACGCGACAGAAATCAGCTCCTGTTGCATCTGCTACTCTGTCCGCGGCATCACTTGTCTTTAACCAAGTCAGGAATGAACCTGACCTTCTGAATGCGCATACTGGAGCTTGAAGACCCGAGTGAAGACTGGCCTCCGAAATACGGGTACTCGCCATCGAGTCTTAAGTTCCCTAAAGCACATCTGTTGCCCGGACGTTGACAGAGTTCCTCTTCACCTCTGCGGGTGAATTGGTGAACACACATGCACGCAAACACATACATGCACATACATGCATACACACATATACACACATGCCCACACCTACACATACACACACATTTTTGCTGTGTTATGAGATCATATTTCATTTTTGACACCCGGATGATACCAGTCAGCTTCAGTACTGGTTTGGGGGCAGGTGCTGTAGCACAGTGGATTAAACCGCTGTTGTGACGCCAGCATCTCCTATCAGTGCTGTTTCAAGTCCCGATTATTCTGCTTCCAATCCAGCTCTCTGCTAATGCACCTGGGAAGGCGGTGGAAAATGACCCAAGTACTTGGGCCCCTGCCATCCACGTGGGAGATCCAGATGGAGTTACAGGATCCTAGCTTTTGCCTGGGCCAGCACTGGCTATTGCAACCATTTGGGGAGTGAACCAGCAAATGGATGATTTATTGTTCGCTGTCTCCCTCTCCTTCTGTCTCTCTCTCTCTCACTCTGTCTTTTGAATAAATAAATCTTTATAAACAAAAATACAAAAAAAAAAAAAAAACCAGGGCCAGCGCTGTGGTGTAGTGGTAAAGCCACTGCCTACAGCACCGGCATCCCATATGGGTACCACTTCCCATCCAGCTCTCTGCTATGGCCTGGGACAGCAGTAGAAGATGGGCCAAGTCCTTGGGCCCCTGCACCCACATGGGAGACCCAGAAGAAGCTCCTGGCTCTTGGCTTCGGATCAGTGCAGCTCCAGCCGTCGCAGCCAACTGGGGAGTGAACCAGCGGATGGAAGACCTCTCTCTCTCTTCTCTCTCTCTCTCTCTCTCTCTCTCTCTGCTTCACCTCTCTGTAACTCTGCATTTCAAATAAATAAATAAATCTTTAAAAAATATATCTACTCGCTGTTGCTGTTTTCCTTGCTGATTGATGGGTCCTATTAAATGATGGCACAAGGAAGGGGTTTCCATTTCTAGGATGATTGTCCTGGCACCCTCTTTGCCCTTCCTTGCGCTCACGAGGTTCCTACCTACCTCTTGCTGTTCCAGCCACCCTGACACCCTCAAGGCTTGGTCTGCCACCGCTCCCAGGTGGCCTGGGAGGCCTCCACACAGCACCCTCCATGCAGGCCTGCATGGGCCCAGCTCTCCCTGGACACCCCTCCAGTTCTTGAGCCTGGCTAAGCCTCAGACGTGGATCTGAGCAGAGCTTCAGGGTCAGGCCCAGCGGGCCGGCTAGGGAGTCCACACGCCCTGTGTCTCCACGTCTGCTTCCTCCCGGCTGCCCCCCACCCCCACGCACACACACACAAAGCCGGCTTTCTGCCCATTTCCTTGACAATGACCTCATCCATGTGGTGTGATTTTTGTCTAGCCCTGAACTTCTCCTCTAGAGAAAACCAAAACTGAGTCCAGATAAGACGCGAAGACGGGGCCCTCGGGGATACAAACAGGAAGCAAAAAGGCTTGAAGGAGCAGCTCTGTGCAAGTGTCACGGACCCCGGGTGTTCAGAGACTTGGGTAGAGTGGAATCCGCTACCCTGCAGTCAGTCTGGAATGAATCTCCTAAAGAACTATGGTCTTTTTTTTTTTTTTAAATAGATTTATGTATTTATTTAAAAGGCAGAGATACAGAGAGAGAGAGGAGAAAGAGAGGACTTCCATCTGCTGGTTCACTCCCCAAATGGCCTCAACGGCAGGGGCTGGGCCAGGCTGGAGCCAGGAGCCTCATCCGGGTCTCTCACGTGGGTGCAGGAGCCCAAGCCCTTGGGCCATCTTCTGCAGCTTCCCAAGCACATTAGTAGAGAGCTGGATCGGAAGCGGAGCGGCAGGGACTTGAACCAGCACCCATATGGATGCCGGCACTGCAGGTAGATGCTTAACCTTCTACACCACAGAGCCAGCCCCAGAACTAGGATACTTTTGAAGCAAAAAAATATTTTTTCAGGCCGGCGCCACGGCTCAATAGGCTAATCCCCCGCCTGCAGCGCCAGCACCCCGGGTTCTAGTCCCGATCGGGGTGCTGGATTCTGTCCCGGTTGCCCCTCTTCCAGGCCAGCTCTCTGCTGTGGCCAGGGAGTGCAGTGGAGGATGGCCCGATTCCTTGGGCCCCTGCACCCCATGGGAGACCAGGAAGAAGCTCCTGGCTCCTGGCTTCAGATCGGCCCAGCTCCAGCTGTTGTGGCCGTTTGGGGAGTGGGCCAGCAGATGGAAGACACCTCTCTCTCTCTCTCTCCCTCTGCCTCTTTGTAGCTCTGCCTTTCAATAAATAAATAAATAAATCTTTAAAAACAAACAAACAAAAACCTTGTTTTGTACCTTTGTCAAACCAATGGGTAAAAATGGTGTCCTCCTGTGGTTTTAATGATCTGTGATGACTTTAAAATGTACTGCATATGGGGGAAATGGTCATTTATGGCCATGATCTATATTCTCCCTAAGGTAGGATCTTTCTGCTTTGCACTTGTTAAACTTCTTATTGGGCAGAGCATTAAGCATTTTTACTGTAATGTAAATTTAAAATATGTTATATCAAAAGCTGAAAAAAAAAGGCAGAGAGAAAGGGAGAAAGAAATAGGAAATAGCATTTTGTTCTCAGAATTGTATCAACAAAGCACACTGAATCTATTAAAAACTAGTTAAAGATGAAAATAACAGTTTAAAAAGTATTTTGGGAAACAAATAATAATAAAAGAAACCTGCCTTGAAAGAGCATTCTCCTTCCAAAGCACCTTAGCTTCTCAGCAGGGCGACGCGGGCAAGCCAGCTTCCCCCGCAGCCCGCTCACTCTATCTGCGTGTTCCCTGGCCGGCGGGTGCGCGCCGGTGGCCTCATCCGGAGCTAAGAGGGGAAAGGGAGAGAGCCGGGAGCCGTGGTCCCGCGGCTCCCCAGCTCGGACTTACGCTTGTTGGCCTTCAGCTTCTTCTCATCCACCGGGATGAGGTCCAGGTAGTCCAGGTAATATTCGTAGCTGTAGTACAGGGCGGAGCCGTTGGTTCTGTTGGCCATGTCCGCAGCACCGGGAAGCCCGGCTCGCATCGGGAGCCAGGCTCGAGCCCCCGGGAGGAGATTGCCTAAGGGGCGTGTGGAGGACTCAGCCAAGTGTGTCTGTGGGTCTCCAGGCACAAGGCCCGCCCACTTATAGGAGGCCCCTGGCTGGAACAAAGGTCAGGGGCCCGAGCCTGACATCCTGGTGCAGGGGAGGGCCTGGGGCCGCCCGTCTGATCCTGCCCCTTCTTGACTCAACTCCAAAGCAAACAGAGCTGGAGAGGCAGGACAGCAGGCCTCCGGCTCAGCTCTCCGCTGCCTCTCTGCGTAAGAGACCTGGGCAGGCAGGCAGGCAGATGCTGGGGCAGAGAAAGAGAAACGCAGTGGACAGGACAGTCACTGTTTGCCTTCAGTACTTGAGAAGTGAACAAATCCACAGTGAAAACCCAGCCGTGCCCTTGACTTACACTGAGGCAATTCTCCATGCTGTTAAGCAACCAGCTTAGGGTCAGCATCTGAGGGCAGAACTTGAGTGACGTTGACCCTGAATTTGAAACCTCTCCATGCACGCATGGCCAAGGAGTTCCCTGTCTCAACTGGGTACACGGCTCAGCTTTCATCGAAGTCCCCCCCACCCCCACCCTAACAGTCAACGAGTCAGATGAATGGGGTTGTTGATCTGGGCCCAGATCCCTCCTGGACTGGGATCCTGGGACACGGGACTCTGGGGCCCGCTCAGCCCTCCTGAGATGAGGATTCTTCTGGCTTCCGCAGGGTCTGATTCCGTCATGCAGTCACTCTCGGGGAGCCTCAGACGCGAGCAAAAGGAACATTCGAGAAGTCTGGAATCGGCAGAGCTAAACGTGAGAGGGGCCCCAGAGCTCAGCCTTTGGAAATAGGAAGTCAAAATGTGCAGCTTTTATGGAGTCTTTCCCTCCAGTATCCCGACTTTCTCGTGTTCCTGCTCAGGTCTACACTGCAAGAATAAAACTGGGAGCTGACCGTGTAGACAGTGTACTTGCTGGCTTAGATCAGGCCTGCTGTGCCTGAGCCATGCACAGGGGTGCTCTGAGGGGGCTCGGTTGATCAGTTGGGGAGGAATAAGCTCATGGGCCCCCAAAGGGAGGAGGTGAAAGGTACCCTGGAAAAGCAGAAGGGCCCTGTGCCGTGGCTCACTTGGTTAATCCTCCACCTGCGGCTCCGGCATCCCATGTGGGCGCCGGTTCTAGTCCCAGCTGCTCCTCTTCCGATCCAGCTCTCTGCTGTGGCCTGGGAAAGCCGTAGAAGATGGCCCAAGTCCTTGGGCCCTGCACCCATGTGGGAGACCTGGAAGAAGCTCCTGGCTCCTGGCTTCAGATCAGCTCAGCTCTGGCTGTTGCAGCCATTTGGGAAGTGAACCAGTGGATAGAAGACCTTTCTCTGTGTATCCTCCCCTCACTGTAACTCTACCTCTTGAATAAATTAAAAAATAAGAACAACAACAACAAGAAAGAAAAGCAGAAGAAATTCCTTTACCTTTAGACACCCACCCTTCTGACATCACAGGTGTGGATTTTTTTTTTCTCCCACCAAGCCATTTCCACTTCTCAGCAGACACAGATGGGGTGTGCTCCAATTTAAATCAATTCTGACGTTGACTGGCTGGAATTGTGTGTGTGTGTGTGTGTGTGTGTTTAAGATTTATTTGTTAGCCGTCGCCGCGGCTCAATAGGCTAATCCCCCGCCTAGCGGCGCTGGCACACCAGGTTCTAGTCCCGGTTGGGGTGCCGGATTCTGTCCCGGTTGCCCCTCTTCCAGGCCAGCTCTCTGCTGTGGCCCAGGAGTGCAGTGGAGGATGGCCCAAGTACTTGGGCCCTGCACCCCATGGGAGACCAGGAGAAGTACCTGGCTCCTGCCATTAGATCAGTGCGGTGCGCCGGCCGCAGCACGCCGGCCGTGGCGGCCATTGGAGGGTGAACCAATGGCAAAGGAAGACCTTTCTCTCTGTCTCTCTCTCTCACTGTCCACTCTGTAAAAAAAAAAAAAAAAAAAAAAGAAAGAAAAGATTTATTTATTATTCAAGAGACAGAGTTACAGAGAGGGAGAGAGTCAGAGAGAAAGAGAGTCTTCCATCTGCTGGTTCACAAGCCAAAATGGCTGTAATAGGGGAGCTGGGCCTAATCCAGGAGTCAGGAGCTTCTTCCAGGTCTCCCTCGCTGGTACAGGGGCCCAAGCACTTAGGCTACCTTCCACTGCTTCCTCAGGCCATTAGCAAGGAGCTGGATCAGAAGTGGAGTAGACAGGACTCGAACCCACACCCAGCTGGGATGCTGGCGCTGCAGGCAGAGGCTTAATCTACTACACCACAGCGCTGACCCCAACTGCCTGGAACTGTCACAGATGGCACAGGTTGAGTGCTGAATCCCGCGAGATTGTGCCCCACTTCAGAGCCAATCACAGGCCCCATGTTGTCACCTATACCACTGATAAACCGGACATAAATAGGGAATTCTCATGATCCTATCCACGGGTCATGAGATGATGAAATCCTGCCTCTACCTCTTCCTAGCGACGTGGCTCCTGTCAAGTGCCTTAACCTCTCTGGGCTTGTTTTCCTCATCTGGGAAGTGGACCGACCACAGCAGGTGTCTCTCGGGGAGTTGGGAAGTTTACACGAGAACCTGCTGGCACGGCACTTCAGGCAGCGCCTCATCCGTGGCAGGCACTCACCAGCATGCACCATTATTGCTGTGCCAACAAACGTGGCCTTTCCTCCCACCCGCCCAGCCCTCTTCTCCCACTCCTCATCCTCTCTCTCATCCATCTTTGCTCCTCTCTCTGCTTTCTCCTTGTACAATGCCAGCCTTCGGTGCAAATGAACTCCTTGCTTCTCGTGTTCATGTTCTCCAGTCACATAGCCTCCCTTTTTGGGGTCTCTGTCAGGTGGAGAGTCAGATACGGGTGACTGGGAGGGACCACAAACCCATCATCCAGGGGTGGGACCAGGGGCCCACCTAAGATGCTCACTTTGGGTTCAACTTGTACTGAAAGCATTCTGATAAAGTGGGAACTCAGCCAAACCAGCAAAGTCTACTTTATGGCACACGCTCAGTGAGACCCGGTTTGACATTGGAGTGACTCTGCTTCATTATATGATCATTATACTATGATCAGCATTGCGGTTTCATACCCCCCGCCCCTGCCATGGTGCGCATTCCCAATGCATGCTGGGAAACCACACGTGCAGAGAGTTCCAGGCATACAGTTCCCAGATATCAATCAAAAATGTCAATCACGAGCATCATGGCCACATTACCAGTCATCACCCCTCACACTTCAGGAGTAAAGTCCTAATCCAGGAAAAAAGAGGGTCATGTGCTCTCTCTACTGGCCCTGTTTGGATTGTACTGTAATAAACTTGTGCTTTACCGTCCCTTCTTCTGAGTGTCTGAACTATAATTCATTACTCAGCTGGCAAAAAGGATTCAAGGCAAGCCAGCTGCCCTGGTTGACATCTGTAACAAAATGCTTTCTCCAATCTGCGGCCACCATCACCATCTCTCACCCTCTGTGTTTTCATGTTGCACACATACTCACTCAGGTTCTTTTCTAGAGAGTTAATGGCTTGTTCAAACCAGCCAATTAGAGCCCAAGTCCAGATTAGCAGCAGGGTTCCCCAACTCCCCGTTGGATGAGCTGCCCTTGGCATCATGCATACTTCAGCAGGGAATGAACCAGCTACAGACATGACCTGTATAAGCCATTTTTTGTTGGACACAGAAGGTTATAGCAAGAAAGAAGAAACAGGGACTCCTCCATTAGGAATTGAAGGGCAAATGAGTTGACCCGGAACAGCAACAGCAGAGAAATGTGACCCAAGAGAGGCTCCATTTCAAGGTCAAGTGAGACCTTGCTAATAAAAAGATTAAGACATTGGATCTCTGACTTCAAAAGATTTGTTAGGCACTATAGCTCACCCTTAGGCTGGGTCATACAGATTTTCATATTTTTAGGCAACTCAGTATCTATCTGTTCAATTGACTATAATTTTTTTCTTTTTATTCAATGCTTAGAAGGCTGGAGTTGAGAGAAGTTATGTAAAAATGATCAGAGGCTATTGTTTTGAACTAAGCTCCTGCACCAGGCTCCAACAGAACAGACTAAAAATCAGAAGTATGCCACTCGTGCCAGGGGTCCACTTCACCCAAGTGAAACTGGGCTGCTGTCTGTTCTGAGAAACCAGACTCACAGGCGAAAACTCTGGAAGGACCGATGTCCTCTTTGTTCTTTGCTTCTGCAAAGAAGTCCTGCAAACCAACCCCTTCTGCTCGACTCATGGGAACAGGTACTCTATTTCATAGAACGGGGTGCTGTCTGATTCTAGAATTGCAAATCAAGCCAAATTAAGATTTTTTAAGATTTATTTATTTATTTGAAAGAGTTACACAGAGAGAGAAGAGGCAGAGAGAGAGGTCTTCCACCAATGGTTCATTCTCCAATTGGCCGCAATGGCCAGAGCTGTGCTGATCAGAAGCTGGGAACCGGGAGTTTCCTCCTGGTCTCCCACGCAGGTGCAGGGGCCCAAGCACTTGGGCCATCTTCCACTACTGTCCCAGGCCATAGCAGAGAACTGGATGGGAAGTGGAGCAGCCGCAACTTGAACCAGCGCCCATATGGAATGCCGGCGCTTCAGGCCAGGATGTTAACCTGCTGCGCCACAGTGCCAGCCTTGAATTAAGATCTTTAATAAGATAAAATTGTTGCAATCTTGTCTTTTGGAGGAGGAGTCGGAAACTGGTAGCTGAGTAGATGCAGGATACTGAGACCCGTGGGAGAGCTCGCTCCTTGCTCTGCCGTCCCGGAACCTCCTCCTCCTCAGCTTGTTCCTGAGCTCCCAGAGGCCGAGAAACCTTCCCATCCTGCCGGGCCTCAGCACCTGCCCCACCTCTCAACCCCAACCACTTGTATTGGTCATCACTCCCACCCCTTGAAAATTATTTTTAGTTTTAAAATTATGTGTTGATTTCAGAGGCATGGGGACAGAAATTGGAGGAAGAGAGAGAGAGAGAGAGAGCGAGCGAGAGAGGTGCTCCCACCTGCTGGTTCATTTCCCAAATGCCTGCAGCATCTGAGACTTGGGCAGGCTGAAGCCAGGAACTCAGTCCAAGCATCCCATGCAGGGGGCAGGAACTCAACGACTTGAGTCATCACCTACTGCTTGCCAGGGTCTCCATTAGCTGGAGGCTGGAGTCAGAAGCAAGATCTGGGATTTAAACGCAGATTCTCTGACATGCAATACAGGCGT